GCTACCATGGAGTGCCAAGCTCAAAAACACAAACACTTTGACACACTGACCGCATCACGTCTTCACCAAGAACTTGTGCACACAAACACTATATATATTATATACTTGAGTGGCCTTCAAACTCATATGGCCTTGATGTTTGCAGGTGCTCCAAGGCGATGGCGATGATGGACAAGATCAAGTAGATGCCTCAATCCAGGGTTCCACTATTCTTGTGCCCTCTTGCTGACGACTTTTTCTTGGGTGTCTGGAGTTGAACCTTCATGCAGGAACGCCCTCAAATTTGAGAAGAAGGACACACCAGGGAATGGTGAGCACCCAGGAGCAGCAGCGAAGAGGAAAGCGAAGATGTCAAAGGGTAATGACGGTAATGGGGAGGCCCCCAAAAAACGCAAGAAGTGATGGGCCTGAATGTTTATGTGCAATTCCTTTAGGGTACTGCAAGATTTTGACACTGTGGCTTGCGGGGAACCTGTCAAAAAAAAACAGGCTAGAACCTGCTTGCATAGTGTGATGCGTAATACGTATACATACATATATGTCATCTAAAGCGCCAGGTGTGGCCGTGCAGCGCTGTTGCCTTTCTTCCCTGAAAACAAACATGTTTCAAGTGTCAAGATTTGGGAACCTCTTTTCACAACCGGCATGGTGTGATGAAGGCTGATAGCGCTGTCTGCCCACACACTCAGTTTCGAAGCATATTGCCAGAAGGGGTGAAGGCAAAACCAGTGCTTCTGCTGACCATGTATACAGCTTTCTTCACTATACCCAAAACATGACTCCCAGTACTGGCCGGGCCAGGTGCCGGGCAGGCTCTTCGAGTCATCTCTGCAGACGTTGGATCAGGAGCCGCGGCCTCAACAGCAGCCGTGTCAGGGAGAGGTGTGAGCCCTTTCATGCTCGTGGCCCCGTGGCCCTTCTTGCTCACAGTCTGTTATGGATGGACACGTTTTCCAGCCCCTCATCCTTTTCCAAAAGACAGTCTTCGCATGAACCAATGCAATGGACAGAACTCCTGCTCTCTCTATATATACACTTCTTTTGCTTCACACCTTATGTATATACAACCCACGTTTCCGATATGTTTTGCGAGAACGGTCGCCATGATCAAACACCAGAAGCTGAATTAGAAGAGCTTCTCAGTTGCCATCGGGTTGAGGCTTGGATTCTGCTAACTCCTGTTCACGTTTTTATGGCCAGCGCTTTTCACACCTGGTGTTTCGCCTGAGTTCTCGGCAACGCACCCATGAGCCAAGGAAGGTGGAGTGCCATATGCCTGGCGAAGAACGGCTAACTTCGATCTCTACCCGAAACCGTGTGGCAAAACTACTCAAACGGAAGTCAAAAACCATGTAGAGATGGATGAGCTGCACCAAAGCAAATTGTTCCAAAAGATCTCCAAGTCATTGACTCCAGACATGTTTAGTGATGCTGGCCTGAAGCTCATGCTTCATGAGGCGGAGTCCATTGGCTGTATAGACTTCAGGTTGCCGTCAAACAAAAACGCAACTGCGGGAGGTGTTCTGCGTCATTGTTCAACTGTTGCGGAAGATCTGTTTGACAAGTGGACCCCTCTTATATTCAAGTTCGGGTATACGCACAATCCTGTTTGGCGTTGGAGCAACAAGATGTACGGCTATAGTCGCTGCACTGACCGTTGGTCGAACATGGTTGTGATGTACATCACTACGGAGCCGCGTGGTCCTGCTATGCTAGAGGCTGCCCTCATTGAAAAGTACCAAAGTATCTGGGCTGCTAGCTACCCTGCAACAGATATTCCAAAGGTTTTGTTTGTATATAGTTCCTTTTTGTTTGTATATAGTTTACCCTAACTACTGCATTTTACTGCTAATGCCTGTATGGACCAAAAAGCTTCCACTTGCGGCGAGCGTCACCTGCTCTTGACCCAAGGCAAACAAGGATGCAGGAATACCCGCTCTGGTGGTGATAACGTCAAGCCTACCGCTGATGGCTTTTGCATGGTGTATCTTGTATATAGATCTTTCAAGTTTCCACCACCTTGTTCCCGGTGGTCAAATTCACCTTGAAGCCTGGTCGCTTTTCTTTTTGAACTTTCAACAGTGACCATGTGAGGTTTTGCGGCCATAAGTGCAAGTGTGCATGTGTATGTATACACGTGTACATACACGCTGCAAGGAGCTATCGGAGATTTGAGGGTGAAAAAATGTATCTCTTTCATTCTGCGTGCTTTCAGTCCTGGCCACAATCTGGCACAAGCTGTTGAAAGCATGTTACGACGTTTAAGCCCCATCAAGACTGAATCGCATGTTCTTACGCTGATGTGCCACAGCTTTTCCTATAGACCCTCCACTCTTGGGCTCGCTGAGGCCTCCAGCTACCGAGCAGCTGTGAGAACTGCGCGAGGTGTAGTTGCTGACTTGGGGGAAGCTGCCGCATCAGCTTCCCCAGGATTGTGTGAGCTGTCCAAGGTTTCTGAAGGCCACTCTGAGAGAGATGGCCACAATGTGGTGGCCAAAAAGTTTGGTCTCACCCTGCCTGTCCGAGTTACTGAGTTGCAGAAGTCGCCTGGCATGACCTACCCAGGTCGACTTAGCATGCTCCGGTTGGTGAGCTGGTTCAAGTTCCTTGTTGAATACAATGCTTTCCATGTATTATGTGGCTTGCAACAAGCAAACAAGAAGAGAGAAGGACATATTTTGGCAGAGTTTTGGAGGAGATATCGGATACAAAATCCGGACCATCCGATGTGGCATTTGGTGGATAGCGGTCTCTTGGACCCTTCACACACGGCTCCACTTTTGCTGCATGGAGACGAAGGAAGATCACGCAAAAGAGCTGCAGTGCTGGTCCTTTCTTGGCATTCGGCCCTCGGTCTGGGGACGGAGGCCGCCAACCGCGAGAGGAAGTCTTCTCCGTACCTGAGAATGAAGTTGAACTACTTGGGACCAACGCATACAAGTCGAATGCTTGCGGCGGTCTTACCTCGCATGACAAAAGACGCAGAGGCGCTGACTGAGATCCTGAAGGTTGTTGCGCAGGACGCCAAGCGCTTGATGTTCGAGGGGGTGCCAGGCGCTGACGGGAAAAAGCGCTTTGCAGTGTGCATTGGTGCAATTGGAGATTGGGCATGGCTAATGAAGGCAGGTAATCTGTCACGTGGCTACACGCACTGCATAAAGAGACCACAGCGGGCTGACGCCAATCCTGTGGGTATCTGCCACCTGTGTTCCGCAGGTATGCGGGACATTCCATTCGAGCACTTGACTAGCTACAAGCGCTATGAGAGACGAGACGATGCAACACCAACTTGGTGGCATACAAGGTTCTCACAATCTGCTTTTGCGGAACCGGTCACGCCACTGAAGGAGATTCCCTGGGCCGATTCTCAACCAGAATCCTTTTATCACTTCGACCTATTTCATTGCTTTCATTTGGGCCTTGGCAGATACTTCATCGCAGGAGCTCTGGTGTTGGCATCTGAGAACATGTACGGCAGCAGGTTGCCAGACCGTTTTGATGAATTGAGCCAACTTTACTTGGCGTGGTGCGAAGCCGAACACAAATCACCCTTCTTGATTAGCATAACGCAAGCGAAGCTGAATTGGCAGGATACATCTCAGTATCCAGCCGGGTTGTGGACGAAGGGGCATGTGACTACATCCCTTTGCCACTTCTTTGAATCATGGGCAGCGCTTCAAGGTTTTCCTGAAAACAGCCTTTTGCACGATTGTTTGGAAGCTTGCAGGGCCATCAGGAAAGCTCTCAGGATCCTGTACAGCAGAGACGTTTGGCTCTCTCAGGAGGATGCTTTGGAAGCAGCAAACAGTGGGCTCAAGTTTGTTTCCTTGTATGGAATGTTGGCGCTCAAGAGCTGGCAGCAATCACGGGCCCTATTCCCACACGTTCCCAAGGAACACGGGTTAGAGCACCTGTTCTTTGAATTGCGCTACTTGGCAAAACGCCATGAGTTCACTATGAACCCTGCAGTCTTCAGCTGTCAGATGGACGAAGATTACATTGGCAGAGTATCAAGGGTGACAAGAAGAACGTCTGCGCAGCAGGTCGTGCAGCGAACCATTGAACGATCATTGCAGGCGGCTTTTGCACAGTGGAGTGCAGCAGGATACATCAAGTCTTGATGAAAAAAAGTGTGGGAGCTTGCCTGGCTTGTGTATATGATCACACTATAGAGATCTATAGAGATTCTGTAAAACCTTGAAAACGAAGAACCCGTGTTTTCTCTGAAAACATCGTTTTTTCCCAAGAACTGACGTTTTTATCAGTTCTGGGATCTTTAGGTAGACTATCTCTGTCATAGGTACTCCAGAATGGTCCTAGATTCAGGTCACTTGACCTTTCTTGGTCCGTGTGGACAGATTGATGTGTTAATGTGTGATTCATATTGTCTCGGTCTGAGATGGAAATTGTGGTTAACATGTCATGGTCGATCATCTTCACGGCTTGTGGATCTCGTTTGGCCATTGCCCTTTGTTACTAGTAGCGATGCCCTTTAAATTTGCTTTTAGTAGTGTCCTTGTTCCTAGTAGGAAGGCCAGGAGCCCTAGTAGCGTCCTTGTTCCTAGTAGCGATGCCAGGTGCCCCTATAGTAGTGTCCTTGTTCCTAGTACAAGCACTTGCTTGGAAACAGATCAGCTCGGAGTGGCTCACGAGCCCACGGTGCACGAAACTACGCCTCCGGTGCATTCGCAGATGACACCATTGTCCAAGCCGAGCCTCGTGTTGACCGAGCCAAGCCCGGCTGGACGACAATTCGCTCCCCCCCTCGCACCCAGAAGATCCATCTTCGTGGCGAAACTTTAGCTTGGATGTATTTTGGCCTTGGATGGCCTTGGCGTTTACATATTTTGTTTTTGTTCTTTGAGTCGAATGGACGTCGACCGGAGCATCCATCTCCAATGTGTTGATTTTCAGGATGTGGTTTTGCCACAGGAAACGTCATGCGAAGTCGAAACCGCTGGGCCTGTTGGGGCTGTGTGTAGAACCCCTGCCACCTGCAGGATGGGAACTTTAGCCAGGCGGGGTCTGAAGTGGGGGGAATTAGGCTGGTGGAGATATTGATGATTGTTCCGCCCCAGACATCCAATTCTGTTATCTTGTTTTGATCCTCCAACCAATCATACCAAACGCCACTTCGATCGCTTCAGAACAAGGTCCAGTTCTTCTTTGAACTGAGTCCACTCAGTGAAGTCCAATTTCTTTGGGAAACCAAACCATAGGTAGCCCTCACTTGGGATCTCGCTTTGGGGCATTCGCCGCGACTGGATCAGACTGGAGCAGACTGGGCGACGTCCCGAAGGTCCCCCACAGGATCTGGAAGATCTCCAATGCGTTTGAAACAACATGAATGAATCATATCAGTTAAACTATATTGTCGTTTAACATGTTGTACAGTTAACTATATTGCTGTTCATGCGTTTACCAAAATCATATCATATCAGTTAAACTGTTGCTTGATTTTGGACATATTCCGACTTGGTATTCTATGGTATCTATATTAGTGCCTCCAAGAGTCTCCAAAGAATAGATTGCAGTAGAAGTAGGTCGACCCATGGTTTGAATTGTCCTCGAAACGGTTTCTTAGATGTTTCTATTTTGAGACATATGTTTTGTGTCATACTCTGAGCAGTCAAATTGTCCCATCCAGGCGAGTAAGTACAACTAGTACGTGGTTTTCCACCAAGTCCCGCACCGCCTCAAGATCATGGGACAGATATTTGCACCATTGGGTGTCTATTATATATATACTTAATTATATATATATGTGTGTGTGTGTGTTTCGGATATGTTCAGATAGGCTGTGCAAAAAAGACTTTATCCATAAGAGTCATGACTCTGTCCTTTCCGAAAGAGCAGGATCCCAGGGTCCCAGGGTCCTGCCGTCTCGAGGTTGGTTTCTTTTCGTCAGTTGATCCCAGGGTCCCACTCCAACATCCTGATGGTGACGTGGGTGGCATGGCCCCCAAGAATTACCTAGAAATCCTCAGAAAATCCTCAGACCAAAGAGGGGGATTGTCCACTTGGATGTGTGTTGGATGGGTTGGAGGGTCCCCAGCCAAGGCCATCCGTGTGGTTTTGCGCGAGCGTTTCGATGAGATGGGTGGAGGGGCTTTGGTTGAAATCGAGGTGAGCTTTGTGAATTCCATCAACACCATCAAGGGCGGCACGCATGTGGCTCATGCCTGGAGCTCTGGACATGATGAAAGGCGGAAGGTTCATAAACACTGCAACATGACAGCACCCAATGGATTGAATTGTTGTATGGCCGTGGCGTGGGTCAAAACCCCGGAACCCTGGTTAACCACGGATAATGGACAGACTGGGCTATTAAGGGCGTCAACCAACCAGGGTTTACGGCTCCGGGTTTTGACCCACAGCCATATTTCTCCATTGGGCCAGGTTTTGAGTTTTTTTGAAACAACTTGCTCACTTGCCAGTCTAATAATTTGCTGCTTTGCCCTCCTCGTGTTCAGAAGATCTTTACACTCGGACTCACTGGCACTGAAGTGAACACCCCTTATGTTCTAGAGAGAAATAGAGCCATGTGACTTCCACTTCCATTGTTGCTGAGTCTGAGTGGTTCATTCGCAGCAAGAACGCATGGCAGACCTAGGTGGCGTACCTTGGAAGATTCAGCCAAAGGGGGCTGAAGATATTCCAAGGTACAGCGACGTCGACCCTGGAATGCGATCCGTGAATCTGTGGAATGCGATCTTCCGTAATACATAATCTGTCAGGGACTTGAAGCCTTTTGGATCTTTGTGGCAGCTTTGGTCAAGTTCCGGAGTTTAGTAGACAATCTCTTTAGATTCAATGAGATGTTGATCTGTAAAAACGACATGATTGTGGATGGCTTGAGACTTCCACCGGTTCAGGGGGTTCTTTATTTGGAGATGTTCCGAGAGCTTCCCAAGGTTTCCAATGCAAAATGAACAATGTCAAGAACTCTAAGCGTGACTCACTGGAATCTGGAAGATCCAATGATCATGATGTGCTGCTTCTCACGCCAACCATCTCTTGCTTGGGGCTAACCCACACATCGCGTTTTTTGGGACCCCTGTGCAACACATCCGGCTTAGGTGTCGGACCAGGTCGTCGAAGCCATTCTCAAGGCGAGAGCGGGTGGGTGCCAGTGCCAGGAGCATCAGGAGATCAGGCATGGCATGTGCTCTGTCATCCCTGGTAGGTTGACCACCTGTAGGTCATCCGTTCTGTTCATGTTCGTCAACCAGGGTTACCCCAGTGCCATGACCTACAGCCAGATGTGCGCCACAAGGATGGAGGATCTTAAACTGGGAAGAGGGATCTTCCACCTTTCGACCGAGAAAGCAGTTTCAATGCGGGAGGGTCATAGTTGGAGGAAATGCATCCATGGTCCATCTTCCTGGAATGCCTTCGGTTCTTTCCTGTTTGGCTCAGTTCAATCCGCCGTGCCTCAATTAAGATGGAGGAGATGTAGACCAACATGTTGGGCCACATTAAGGTCTTCTTCTAGCCGCTGGGCCATCTTTTCGCAGCCGACATGTTCCTGCATTGGAGAGCCAGAGGCTTCAGAGTCTGGAGAAAAAGCTCAATTCTCCGACCCCGAGGTCGCTGGCATGGCTGCCATAGCCTGCATTGGGGATTAGGTTTCCTATTCCAACTCAGCACGGAGTGTCCAGATGGATAGGGTACCAAGGACCAAACAACCACCCTAGCTGCTGGCTGGGAGTTGAAGATTTGTGAGGTGTTCATGTACGTCCATGGGACTGCCATATTTGCCGATCAGTTGGGGTGGTTTTGGGGGGTCAATGTAGGCATATATGGCATACATGGAGTGTCTGGGTGTTGAGACTGTGTTCTGTTTTGTTTACCGCACGCAAGAATGGTTCACGACCGTATTCTCTGACAAAGCTTTGAGAGACTGCTGTCACTGGAGGTTGGTGGAAAAGCACAGAAAACCAACACCAGGTGAACTGAAGCGTGTGAGAATGTTTGAGGTAGCTGCAATTGATTTCATGGTCCATTACCTTTACTTAATGTCGGAAATAGACACATAACTAGATGGACATTGTCGATGTACATCTACTACAAATACTTGACATGCCAACAATTCTGATATACCCTGGGGCATTTGACATCTATTTAATCCATATTACTTCATCATCTAGACTGGTATGTGGGTGTGTCCTTATGTGTCCTTCAGGTACAGCAAACCCATGATGCTGAACTCAGACCATTTCGGCCACGGCCATAAACGGCCGGTGAGGTGGTCAAAGGCAAGAATCGCGGTGGCATCGACATCAAGCCCGCACATGTGGAGGGCTCAGTCTTTTTGTTCACAACGGAGCAACCGATTTGGCGGATCCATTGGCTGTGGGTTTCACAATGGAGACCCCCAAGTAGTCCAAGATCGGGAGAAGAAAGCAACCACAAAGTGCAAAAGAAGACACCACGCAGGTCGATGACCGAGCAGTGAAGGATGATGGTTAGGTGTTTGTTTGATCACGATCTGTCTGTCACCTTTTGAGGCGCGACAAAGGTCACCAATTCCGCTTCGCATCGCCTGCGGCTGATGAGCGCTTGGCATCGATCTGCGCTCGGCATCGATCGCTTGGCAGCTGCCACGTGATCGAGCTCGTCGCTGCGGCCAGGTGCGGAATCACTTGTGGGTCTTCATCAACTGCTTGATTGAGAATCCAGCCTTTGATTCGCAGACCAAAGAGATGCTGGGCTGAAATTGGTGCAACTTACTTCAGATGGGCTTCCATCTGCAATGAGTGAAGAAGTGGTACGAGCAGGGCTTGTTCTCCAGCGCCGAAGATTTGGGATTCTCTATGGGGGGGGAACTCACATGGAAGGTTGATAACAAAGGAAAACAACAAAAATAACTGTTCCTAGAGGAAAATGGTATTCCGGGGCCATGCTCATGCCATCCACTTCCATGTTAGGTTGCAGGGAGTAAATGGTATAACATGATATAACATGTATGCCCAATGTGTGTGCGGTTTGCCACTTCAAAAAGATTCCAACATGCTATCCACTATCCACCCCATTCCCGTTAGGCCGGCAGAACAGGTGGTGGTCGGGGAATTTCCACAATTGATCCGTGGAATCCTTTGTTCAGCTCCTTGCAGCGAACCAGATGTGCAGGACCCACGCCTCCCCAAACCATTCGCTGGTACGCTGGAGGGGTTGGGGGTTGCAAGACTAGTTTCCTCTACCAAGTTGGCTAGTTCGTTTCTGGGGAGGCTACATACATGGATTTCCGTTCACAGCGTGCTGAGAGCATCGTGGCTGTGAAGAATCGCAATTTGGGGAATGAATTGAGTATGCTTGGTAGTTCAGATATCGGAGACCTATGTGTTGTATTTGTATGTATACTGTATCTTTTAGCAACTCAAATGAGGTACAGTGTTCTTCCTGGCCGTGTTTGAAGGATTTTGCTTGACTGTGTCCTTTTCATTAATTCCTTTTGGACCTTGGATAGCCCATGGGTAGCCGGTACTCGACCTTCCGGGGATCGAAGGACCTTGACGACCAAGCAGAGTAAGTCCGGGCACTCATGGCCGAGACCAAAGGGGCTGGGTTGATGCGACAGAGGGCTCCTGGCCGACCCTCCCTTTCAAAAATGCTTGGACGTGTGTTCTTTTGTTTCTCAGGGAGTCGAGCAACCTGAGGATATGGGACAGGAGCCCTATAGGGATGATTCGTCTAGATTTGAACGAGCCGTCTACCCAACCATCATCATCCACTGGTAATGGAATATATGATATATAGACCCAAGGTTTATGATTGCTTTACGTGTTCGATTGAAGTCCAAGTGCTCTTTGAATCTCCACCCAGTGGTTCACCGCGCGCGCCGGTCATGCGGCCAGCCCTGATTCCACTGCTGGGACCGTTTGGCCCACATGTTTTGCATCGCGAGGACAGCGATGGGATGAAAAAACTGTTTTCTCATCATCCAGGTACTTCGTGCGAACTTTTGGTGGGCTTCAGCCTGATGTTTTGGTGGATTTCTGTGGCACCAAACCAGCTGGAGCCCTACCTTCGAATGTTTTTGTCCATCTTCTCGTGTTGATGCTCAAGGGACCTTCCAAATCCAGGTAGAAAAGCTCCTGGAATGGATGGTTGCTGCCACGATCTTCCGAACGAAAGGTTATGTCTGTTGAACACCATGGAAACGCCTTCGTCTTCCGGTCCATGCCATCAGAACCACCATGTGGGTCTCAAACACGTTGTGGAATTTCCATCGCAACTCGCAACGAGAGGACGCCACGCAAGAGGGATGAAAGCGCCACGAGAAAAAACATCAAAACATGAAAAACCGAGGTTTGGGTCTACCTGCGAGTTGTCGGAGAAGATCATCAAGCAGGCGAGGTCCATGGAAGAATTAGATTGACTTCTTCACTCCACCAATCGAGGTCATGGAATTCGAGGTCACAGGTATTCACAGGTATTTATTCACAGGTCATGTGGAACTTTTGAATGAAGGGATAAAAAAACCAGGTTCGAAAGAACTTTAAGAAGATACAGCCGCAAACCGCGATAACGTATGAACAGCTTATGATCATGCTGAGATCAGCCGCAATCAAGAGCCGACGATGCGGAGCCACGTGGCTCGAGCCGCTCCTTGGCTCATCAGTTCCACCCTGGTGTATCCTGATGAATAGAGTGGGGAGGAATAAATGAGGTGCATGCAAACCATCTCACTTGAAAAGCGCGTGGCTTTCCCTTCAATTCTGGGTACCCGAAGGTTCAGCGGTTCAATGTTTTAACCACTCCCAAAGAGGCCAAGCCCTAGAAGTCGATGTGCACCGTCTTCGAGCGATGAAAGTCTCAGTCATGCGGCTGAATGGGGAGGACATTGTTCTTGAAGTCGATCCAGACATGACCGTAGATAAATTGAAGCAGCGGCTACAAGAGTTGCAGACGTCCCAAGATCAAGATAGAGCAAGCGCTATGTGCGCTATGCACACTTTGCGCAGGGCAGCCAAGGTGGAGCTGGTGGTTGGCGAAAAGCTGGCAAAAGACCATCTAACCTTGACAGAGGCAGGGATTTCTTCAACTGTGCAAGTTCAATTGTTGTTCACGTTCAATACTGTGGAGTGTTGCAGTCAACGTGGATCTGGATTGACATTTGCAGTTTTGACGGCTGTGAGCATTCCGGACTCTGCAACGTCCATTAAACATCGAGCCTTCGGCGGTTGCAAGTCCCTGTTCTCCTTGAAGATTCCTGACTCTGTGATGTCCATCGGAAAGCATGCTTTCGCAGACTGCAGCTTGATAAGCTTGACAATTCCCAACTCAGTGACTTGTATTGGGCATGGTGCATTCTCAGGCTGCCGTTTGCTGACGAGCTTGACCATTCCCAATTCTGTGACTTCCATTGAAAGCAGAGCATTTCAAGATTGCAGTTCGTTGACAAGTGTAACACTTCCCGACTCTGTGATCCGAGACAGCGTATTTGCTGGCTGCAGTTCGTTGATAAGTTTGACAATTCCAAACTCAGTTGCTTGCATTGGATGCTGTGCATTTGCTGGCTGCACTTCTTTGACAAGCTTGACAATTCCGGAGTCTGTGACCTACATAGAATTCGAAGCATTCTCAGGCTGCCACTCCTTAAGCAGCCTAAAGATTCCTGCGTCGGTGACTAGCATTGGAGAGCGGGCATTTTCAGACTGCTGTTCCTTAAGAAGCTTGTTGATTTATGGCCCTGTGACTTTCATCGGAGAACATGCCTTTCAAGGTTGCAGTTCCTTGTTGACTTTGACAGTTCAGAACTCAGGATGTTCTGCTGGAACCACCAATTTGGCTGGCCGGGCTTCTGTCACAGGTGTGATCCGCCGTGCCATCTGGGCGCGGTTCACTTGTGACATGCAAGTCCGAGGGAAATTGAGAAGATGTCGGAGCGATGCTGAAGACTAGGGCAGCAACTGAGGCAAAGGAAGTAGAAGTTGTGGAGTTTGACGGAGGGAGCGAGCTCTAGCTCTTCTCCTGTAAGGGAAGATTTTTTGTTCGAGTTTTTTAGACATCTGTGATTGCGTGCCCAGAACTACCTTACCAATCTATATTCCATCCTGTTCTCTGTATGGAGGGATTGTAGTTGATCATCCCCAGTTCGTCTCTTGAGGGCACGACACAGGTCTTTGCTCCCTTCCGCCATCGCCGGTTCCTGTGCTGACCTTTTTGTGCTGACCGCGTTGGAGACCGCCAAAGGGGACGCAAAAAGCAGAACCTCCAGCAGTTGCAGGTCGGAGTTGTTTCTTTTTTTCAGTCCCATTCCGATCCCATCCAGATCATGAAGTACCCCCTAGCCGGCCCTAGCCTCCAACGTTGGCAGCCCGACATGAAATTCCTGCGACCGGATCACAGGTCCGAGACATAGATGGAGACCCACGGCCATCTCTCCCCCTGATTCAGTTTGACCTTACAGGAGACCAATGGGTATAGAAACACCAATGAGGAAAAGGACCAGCTGTGAACACAATAATAAGAAAGAACACCAGTGTGGGGTTTGTTGTATGTTTGTTTGATGTTGTGTGTTTTTTTCAGTGCGTTTTGTTGTTACTTGTGGTTTTCGGTGGTGGTTTTCGGGATCCCCAAAGCCGGAACCAGGTGAGGTTCTTCACACTGCGTGGGAGCGTCCGCGTCGGGGGTGAGGTCTCACTCTATGCTCCGTCCACGTCCGCGTACGTATCGGTTGTTGCTAAGAGGTCCCCGACTTTCATCGATTTCAACCCTATACATTGGTTCCCCGGTTCCAGCTACAGTCCACAAGTGACACTGTGTTTCTCAGCCTGTAGCTGGAACCCGGGGACTCAACCTTTACATTTCAAAACAAGAATGCCTTGCTTGTCCTGCAAGGCACAGTGAGTCTGAAATGACAATTATCATAAAGCATTGCATAGCATGGCCAAGGTTTAGTTTTAGAAACTAAGCTGGGGGGTGTCTTTCTGAACTCTGATGACTCTTTAAGATGGGACCAGTTCCAAGTTACCGACTTGTGGCTCAACTTATTGGGGGTCCCCAAATAGATAGTGTAGATGCTAGTGGTTTCCAATGCATTTTCTATGTGGGGATCTATATATATATATACTTTTCATGACAAGAGGACTAAAAATACGCCAACCAATGCCAGGCAAGCACGCCTTCGATTGAAGCAAGCTGTGGATGATTGTAGATGTCTAGAGTCGTCCACCATGCAAATCTGACTAGTGCAGGGAAGCAACCTGTGTAGTGAGATGCATCAAAGAGAGCCTACCCGGACCGCAGCGGTTGATTCAGTGGGATCACGTCAAGAATCCTTCTTTGAGCATTTTTAAGCACCCCAACTCGCCTAAACCAATTGAATTCACATAGTCTGCTGCGTGGCTTTTCAGCCAACGAGCGATCAGCCCCCGCAAACCACCACGAATCACGAATAAAATATATATAAGTCGTATAAGTTGGGATTCTTTGCCGGACATTAAAAGACACACAGAACCGTGAACCTTATCTCACACACACACACGACACACCTATTGCTCACCCTTCGCAGGTCATGAAGAGTGGCATCGTCGAGACCATCCTCGATTGGGTGCGGCGCAAGTCACACCACGAGTGTTCTTGATGATGAAAACGCATCACCGGTGGCGTCCCTTCAAAATCACCACCGGTCACCTGCGCGGTGGTCAGTTGGGAGAAAGGAAGCGAAGACCTTCACCTGCGCTGTTTGGAGAATGTTCATTGTTTGATGATCTGATATTTGATGCCCGGCTGCTAATTGGGGTGAAAGAAAGACGCGAGGTGCTAGAATGTGCCCGAGAGTCAAGACATAGGCTCCCTTGATGGAAACTACCATGAAACTAGGGAGGCTTATATAAATTCAATAAATTCTATCTGGCGCCACTTATTTTGTGGGTAGTGCCTATCAAGCCGTGGCCTTTGGGTCGGATTTGGGTCGGTACTGTACCTACCAGCTTCGGCGACCCACTGTGTCGGGTCGGCGACTCAGAAGAGCCCTGATTAGACGATCCCATTCGTGACCGTACTTGATCACCTGCTTGGTTCGGTCACAGAAAAGCCTCCATTCCGGGTCACGGAATAGGAACCTTCCAAAGGTCACGTACTGAAGCTGGTTTATAACTACTCTGATTTCGGTCGACCCTGAGTCGACCTGGGATGGCCTGCCGTCGACCTGCCACTGCCATGCGTGGAATGAACCGGGTTGCGCTGCTGTTGGTTGCGCTGAACCGGGTTGCTGTCTCAGAGGAGGGTTGCAATATGTTGCAATGTATTACAGTGACATTCAATCGACATTCAATATAGTTCGATATCATGCTATATGCAAAAGAAGAACAGGTCAGGTGACACGTCTATCAAAGAGTTTGGACCCATCTCCGATGTTCCCACCCCATCCACCTGGCGGCGCAAGAGGGTCTGGGACCTCGACAGGTGAAGGCCAAGCAGAAGGTCGACATGTCCAAACAGCTCCGTGCGAGCAAGACCCAAGGCCGTGTCTCTGGCGTTCCAAAGCCCGCCCGGCCTGGCTTGATCGAAGGTTTCGTGTGGCGCGGGGGGGGTCGGATCAGGCTGCGAGGCGTTTCCGTTGACTGGTAGTTGGCCCCTCAGTTCAAATGATCGGGCTTCAAGTGTCAGTCCAAAATTGGCGTTCAGAACTGTCACCTTTACAGCCTTTTTGGAATTTTTGGGTTATATTTGGATGGTGAACCAGGTGACCATGTTTGTCAAGACTCCACTCAGACGTCTGGCTCAGTTGGAATAGCACCACGGCGTGGCCGCCATGCCAGGCTGGATGATGCCAACGATGCAGGCGGCAAGCACTCCCAGGCTGGATGGCCGTTCGAAAGCTGCGGGGAAGTGGGAAGCTTGTATCAAGAATAGGAGGTCAGAGACTGGAGCCTCCTTCAACCAGTAGAGGAGTCCTATGGAGGTCAGAGAATGGAGCCTCCTTCAACCAGTATAGGAGTCCTATAGATTCGGGTGAGGGTGGATGGTGGATTCACAGCAGAGTTGGATCAAAGCAGCAAGACCTCTTCATCCTTCGGGTTCTGATCCCCCCAAAAAGCTGCTGGCAGCAGATCTGGTGTCTATAGCACAGCTGCATTCAGCACAGCCAGCTGAATATAAGCCGACAATATTACACATATATATATATGTATATACGCGTGTATATAGTATATATAGTGTCATATAATTATAATTAATGATGTAGCCATGGCTTCATGTCGAAAAGTGGATGCTCAGTGGTTTGACCTTAAGCTCTTCGAAGAATCAGTGGCATTGTGGAAAACCCATCGATCTACAGAACGATTTGCCTCAAAGCCGGTGTAAATGAACGGGGGTGCTATAATTAATATACTGTATGGGTTTCTACCTCCCATCGTGATTCATCAGAATGTGAGCTCTAGACTTTCACCACATTCCGAGATGTGCGAAGCTGCTATCATATCATTGTTGCTTGCTTCAGCCGGACATCTTGACGTTCACCGCATTCCGAATGAGCGATCCCCTTAGAGCTCCACCAGCTCGGCATAGCCGCTGGCGCCTTCGACGCGCGTTGAAACGCTTCTGCAGCGTCGCTTCCTGCGCTACGCAGCAGGACTGCACCTTGATTCTCACGGAAGGCGACTCAGCCGGTTCCCCCAAGCCGCGCGGACCGGGAGCGTCCCGGCGCCTCGCGACTGGAGCCGGTTCCGCCGGTTCCGCCGGTGGGGGGGGGCTGCTGTTTTTTTTGTTTGTCTTGCCAAGTGCTGCAGAGGAGTGTCTATCTTCTGGTTTTGGGGTGAAGAAAGGCAAAATCGTGCTGTTCTGTACTCTGTGCCGTTTGTTCAATCGATTTGAGACCTTGAGCACCGATCTGGGCTATCACCATTTAATCTTCGGATGATACTGATGAGGGAAGAAGAGTCATGGAATATCAACTTATCATCACCTGTCGTTGCGATCTATCCACTGATGCCAACCACTCAACTTTTGCGCCTTGCGGGTAACTTCCTTTCTTCTTTGGACAAAGTTTGATAATGTTTCATATACATTGGACATTGGAGGAGTTCCAGCGACCCTCCCTTCTTCTTTCTGCAAGCACCTTCTCAACTGCTCATGGTGACCGACACACACCAAAGATCATCCAAGTTCCGAGAACTGTTTGACACAGCAACTGGTTGGCATGCCCATGTTGACCTCATTCTTCTTCTTTTCATCTAGTTCTTCCAAGGCCAAGTCCTTGGCTGTTGCTGGCGTCAGTGTGGCCCGGGAACCCACCAGAGGAGCTTGGAACCCACCAGAGCGCGGAGAGGCAGAGAGGTCTTAGATACATGTTTCTTATGGAACACATGATGGACATGAAATGTGTCATATTTTAATATGGAATTTGATTGAGAGGCTCGTTTCATTGTGTGTCCTTTTTCCTGTTGATCTGGTGCTCAGCTTTGAACTCTAAGTATGATGACAGTAACGTTTTGGGACTTAAAGAATGCGCCAACTGGGCAGGGGATGGCTGCAGTGACTTGTGTTCCTTCAAGCCTTCATCCGTTGCCAGAGGGGAAAGAGGCGACCGCAATCACCTCCTGTTTCAAGACGCATGAAGCGGGTCATGAGACGCGGCTTGAGACTAAACAAGCTAATTAAAAAATGGGTCCTGCCATGGAATCTGGGAGATTTTTGCCGCGTGACGATCTATTTGTCCTGGGAGCCGGCAAGATGTCTGTGCATGACCTCACGATTTGGGATCCAACTTGTCTCCACAGGGGAATTTAAAGGCTCCAACTGTAGCTGTACTCGTAGCTTGAATTCGTTTGTTTGAGTCCAGTATAGTGTTTGTTCCCATGAAAGTCAACATTACATTCAGCACCTGTAGATGTTATTCTCAGAGCCGGAAAAGATGCTAAAGGCAACAATCAACCCTAAGTCAGGGTATAATAAACATGCATAAACTATGATACAGATTGAATAACACAATAGCCATGTGGCAGGAACTTTGTCCACAACACTTGGGTGTGTATTCAAATAGAGAGACCTCCCAAAGCTCCTTGGAAGATGGAAAATAGACCAGTCAAACCATTGGTTGGGGGTCTCCCTATTTCTCTACACGCCCACTTGGCTTAGAAGCCTGTTGCAAACAATGTGTTGTCGCCATCAACCTCCCAGGTTGGCCGAGACAAGTATGGCGTGTTCCCGCTCAAGGGTAAGGCGAGAAGTAAAGCGATGACGGGGACATGCCTCGGCACCAGGTGCTCAAACATTATGAGATTTCGTGGGAGACCATCCAAAAAGAACACAGGACATATGAAAAAAGACATGGAAGAGCATCCAAAAACCAGAGGAAATATGATAAAAACCATGGGAGAACATCCAACACCCGCAGGAAACATGAGAAAAACACCATGGGAGAGCATCCAAAACCCACAGGAAGCATGGAAAGAAAAAACACGCACACACATACACACATGGGAGACCATCCAAAAACCCAGAGGGGACCAATATAATGAAAGGCTCCAAGCTGCGAGTCCTTGCAAAGATGATGTTCTTTTCAAGTTCCCGCCTGAAATGTTGGAATGTCGGGGTACTGTGGGGTTGTCCTGCGGTGTGAGTTGATTGTTTTGGTCCCAATCTATTTGGCTTATTTGGGGAGCTTGCAAAAGATCAACCACTTTTACAGCATGTAGATACCCAGATACGAAAGCACCCACCGCAGTTCAAACTTGGACTTTGAAGATCTTTCCTTTGCCAGCTAGTGGTAGATCAGTTTGGGTGGGGATCCAGAGCTTCATTACCATTGTATCAAAACTCTTGGGCCGGCCCCTACTACATAGCAAGCTCGCTCATCTACCTCAACTGCACTCTAGATTCTTGCAACTATGTTTGTTCGTTGAAAGGCACCTCAAGCTTGAAGGAAGACATCAACACGGATTTCTTCCCATTGGACCTAACCATCTATAGGCCCTACCATGTAGGCTGTGAAACCACTTCGACTACCTTCGGAATCGGTACCGTTGGGACCGCCAGGTGTTGAATGTACGCGATGCCAACTTCAAGCAGGTGCACCGGGCGAAAACCGGGCTGAGCCGTTCTTATTTTGGTTGGAACATCGTGTTTTTTTGCTCGAAGGCTATGATATGTGGGCCAGAAACCAAAAAGATCAAAAATATGGTTTTGGAGAGGGTTAGATCTTGATTTCTATGCTTATCAAATTATCAAACAATCATCAAAACAGCATACAAGACACTTCCTGGAACACATGGAAGTGGAACATGGCTGCTTCGAAGGCAAATTTATTCTACAAACAGGGGGGTTCCCACTTCCATGTTAGTTCCAGGGAGTGTACATTGTAATATCCCCAGTTCTCCCGCACACAAAGGTCCTGGGCATACATGGGCATACATGGGCATACTGGGCATCAAGACATCCGTAGAGTTGATCATGTTTGATCGTTTAGATCGGACATCATCATTGGTGCTTTGAAGGGGCCCACCTTCTTGAAGAAGGCGGAACACTCGACCGGGCACAGCTCAGGTCACGGGAAATGCCGAGATTTCCAACCTTTTGCAAATCATGGGCCGGGATCCCTATTGCAAACATATGCTTTCTTCTGCTTTTGTGGGAGGTGCCGTGACAGTAGAGCCAGGGGCCAGGAGGGCAGTGACTTTGCCTCAGGCCCTGGACATCACAGGAGGGTTCATGTCGTTTTGTAGCTCCAAAATGGCTGTGGGTCAAAACCCGGAGCCCTAATCTCTTCATTTCCTATTGTCAACCAAGGTGCCACTGGTTTTCACCAATAGCCAAATGGAACTTGAACCATCATTCCCCCCAAACTTGGGACGGGATGCAGTTTTGTTCGGCGTTTGTGGGCGCATGTATCATTGTCTATGTTCCGTCTTTTGGATGACACGAGAACACAACCGAGAACAGTTTGTTCGAACCTGAAATCCTGTGCATTCCACCATTTCCTCCGACGGGACGAAAACCAAGAGGAGAGATGTGGACAGGACCCCCTCAAACATGGACACACCATGACAAACCCCTGCCAAGAGAGGTTGAACAGCCCTATAGCCCATCCCATATATACCACATGCAGGGTCCTTTTTGCGGTCCTGGTTTACGGCGAACACGTCGACCCCGTTCGAACCGGCAGCGCAACGTCCACGGCGCCAGGGACCACCTCAGTGCAACGTCGAGCCTTCGGAACGCCCGTAGCGAACGACTCTTGAGGTTTGGATTTGAAGCGCCAGTACGACAGCACTCAAGGGCTACGTTATGGCTCCATCATGCCGGGATGCGCAGCTGTTCGCACGCACGGGCTGAGGTCGGTGGGTGGTGGAGAAGGTTAAAACAAGTACTGTATACGGCCTGAAGAATAAGCATGAAGAATAAGGGAAGTGGAGTTGCGGAGTTCACCATTTTTTTTGTCAGATTTCCTGGTGTTCGAAATCAGGGCCATGGAAAAGCACCACATGACATGACCATGGATTCTTTCGGGGAGTGTAAATCCCAAGAAGTTTGCACAAATGGATGCTTGTTTAGAGGAACCCAAATGGGGTGCCCATGCTCCACTGGATTGGTTTCCCAGCTGGGAGCCGTTAGAAAAAACCGATTGCGACTTCCAAGCAACAAGCGGGACTCCGCTTCTTTGAAGGTCGTGGGATCCGCAGGAGCCACAAGGAAACAACTCCGACCACCTGGAGACAGAGAAAGTCAGGACACCCTGGAAAGAATAACAGGTCCAAATAATCACCCCCATTCTTCTGGGTTCTGCAAATAGCTGACCAGTTACTGTAGGGCGTTACCCAGTTGCAACACGCTTGCAACGGGACGTGTTTGTTTTCTTGGCAGGCATGTTCAATGAAAGGGACAGGCTGGAATCCAGGGATGGCATGAGTATCTATGAATGTCGACTCTTGATTATATAATAAACCTTTTCCGACCAGGTTGAATTGAAACACCTGTGTATGTGGGCGGGGGTTGTGTATCAAGAGTCGACATTAGATAATGAGGGAATGGCTTGATCCTCATGCCTTATGGGTTGGAGTCGAAGGAGGCCCCAGTGCGCCCACGCTCGGCGGGGCCACGCCCGATGTGTGGTTCGCTTGGGGGATTGCGCAGCCCGAGAAAGCGTTCAGAAAACCAGAAGGCGTCAAGAACAAGGGACACATGAATCTGCCCAAAAGACAACAAAGCTCCCCGAGGACTCCGGGCCACCAGTTCTTGATTTGGTGGACATTCTGCTTACTAGTTGACACAATGATAATTATTTGTTTCTTTGCTGCTTCTTGATGCTTTTGAAGCAGAGGACGGGTGCTTGTGGTATTTTGGGTGGTGCAACACAGCCAAGGTTGATGACAGACCAAGATCACGATGGATCTCACATCAAGGCAGGGAGATGAATCAGGATCAAAACTTGAGGAGCCAACGATTTCATGAATCGATCCAAGCTCATGGGCCCAACAACATAGAGTTCTAGAGTCATTCTAGAGGTCTGGAGATCTTCCATGCGCCATGCACACCACAACTATCCACATCATCTTCTGCACTTGCTGGACTCATATGATTTCATCATATTTCAATACCTGAACCAATCCCAAGGCCTATTAAATCCATCCCAACCACCCAATGTGCTTGCTCTTTTGGACCACCTGCCATTTCCGCTATGGCGTGAGCCAGACGGAACGTACCACGTCCTAGACCCGAAAAAAGGCGGCGCATGTTCCGCGTGTTCTGCGCGTTCCGCGCAGGGGTTGCTGATTAACCTGATCCATTTCTGGTGGCCATCTCTCGCCAAGATGCCTGGCTTCCTGAAGGACCGACGAAAGAGCAGCTCCTTCCTGCGATCGCTTCCAGCAGTGGAGCTGCGATCGCGGGGGCCCGCCGTTTTCCCGAAAAAAGACGAGATGCAGGGGGAGAACAAGAAATCACACAGGTATGGAGGGATGTTATTTGGCGGTTTAGATGTAGCTGTAGCGTGTTGTAGCAGGGGTATTTGCAAAGTGCCACATCGTGTGGCCGGTTGACATACACATGATTGTCTTGCTCACGGGATCTCATGGGAGGCTAACACAACCTCACGTTCAGACCGGATCTCTACGTCTTTAGATCCGTGACATCTTGTTATCCAGAGATGTCCGCTGACACATGTGCTGACACATGTGACACATGGGAGACCAATTGGAAGTTGTACAACACCCCCTGTAAGAAACACCATGGGCCATGGCTTTTTATGGCTTTTTCCTGCCCCTCTAGCCTCTTCATGATGCAGGTCTCCCTACTTCCAATTCCCGGGCTGCTGTTCCTTTCTCACATTCGATCCCATGAGCTTTTCCAGGAGTTCATCACTCCCATCGTGAAGGTCGATCCTCCCGCGTGCGATGGGGCGGTTTGCCCGCAGCAGACCGCGTGGGGAGAACGCCAGGAGGCTGTCGTAGCACCAGGTCAGACCTAGCTGTCGTAGCCACTGGGGAAGCATATGGTGGAGCCAGTGGAGACATTTCATGCGCACACTGATTCAAGGTTTCGGGGTGATGCAGTGAAAGCAGATGCGTATTCCGCCACCGCCCGAATTTCAAGAGACCCACATGGAACCTGGAAACCAGAAAAAAAACTGTTTTGTGCTGGAAGCTATTGGAAGCTAGTCTTTCAAAGATCGAAAGGTTCATGCCATCAGGTTCCATGTGGGTCTCTTCCCGGGTGTAAGAGGGGCTGCTGTAAAAGTTGGAAACTTTTTTTGGTTTTCTGCACCCAGAGCTCTGCTATACTGGCCATACGATGCCTATCAAATATCCCAAAGAAATAGCAAGATTCTGGTGTGAATTGCGCTGATCATTGCCTTCCTATCCAGCTCAAACTCCATTGCCGAGCAATTTTTATCTCTACAATCTTGAAATGTTCTGACATATAAGATGAGGATATACATATATAGTTATTTAGTTATTTATGTACGTCGAAATTCATTAGATTTAACTATAGTGATTTCTCCTGAAACAGGTTCAGCTTCTAGTGTGAAGGATAGAGCCCTTGGTCAGTGGCATTTCGTCTCCGTCCGTCCGCTCGTGCCAGGTCTGGAAGGAAGGAAAGAAGTCGGATGACCGGCAGACACCGAGCTGAGCGAAGAAGCGCTTGAGCCAGAATCGCCCTCCCAAACGACCCCCTTCCACGACGTCTTCGAAAGAAGATTCAGAACAGTATAGGAACTACGACTACTGTGGCCCTCCCAAAGGTAGCATAATTTTGTCCCATGGGCAGAATGGGTGGTCTTCAATGATCTTCAATGTACAATGGTGGATGAAGCCACTAAGCCAAGTGGCCAGAAGCGCGGAAGCGCAGTCTACCAAGAGAGGTTTTGAGAGATCAATATTAGGACCCGAACGAACGGTACATATGGGATGTGCGAAAAGGGGATGAAAAGGGGCGGTTCTTCAACCTCTTTTGGTGCTTTCCAACATGTTCTCCAAGACTGAAAAACTTCTTGCCGTCTTCACCGATGGCCACCGATCGAATCATTTCGATGTGAATCACTCGACTCCCGTCGTCCTGGGGCATCACTCAGCTCCCGTGTTCGCGGTGAGCCCTTCTCTTTTAAAGAGAACATGCATGAACATACATGAAAATGCAAAGCATGCAGAACGTAGGGAGACCTCCCAGGCAACAACTGACCCGCTAGAGAGGAAGGAACATAGACCTGTCATGACCTGCCAGGGCCAGTGGATCTCCCTCCTCTTACCCCATCCGAGGAATGTGAAGAGCTTCTTCACGCTTCCTGACTACCAGGCGCATTGCTGGGGCTTCTGGGTCAGTGTTGGGTACCAGGCACTGCTGGATGATGCGTGATGATGCAGCCCTGTCGAGAGGTGGTCGCTCGGCGTGCCCCCGCAGTTGTTGTGATGCTATATGGTATTATTCTAAGGAACATGATGCATTCAACGTGCACAGAATTCGCGTTTATCCCTGCGCACCGCTCTGCCGTGCCTTTTTTTCGGAATGTTTCGGCCCCGGCGAAAAAAACCAGCGCTAAGCGCTAAGCGCTTTGAACCGACTGCCTTGTCCTTTTTCGACGCGACGATGGCATCGAGTGATGAGACCTCTTCCCTAACACACCATGAGGGTTGAGAGACCTGAATATGTCCAATATGCTGTGCTGCTGTAAAGCTATATATGTGGCAATGAATATATTAATGCATGATTATTGGATGATATGGAATGGGTGAACACGGGCTGTTGAAAACCCTTCCTGGCAGGCTTGGAAGGAGAAGACTGATGGTGGCCGTGGATGGAAGAGCAAGTGCGAACCGCTGTCGATGACGCAGAGCGAACCGCTGCGGACACGCGGTGGGTTGCGGTGGTTTCGTCCAGGAAGTCTCATCTCAGACACGACTCGTCAAGGAGTGGCTGGTATATCATACTATTAGGGTGGTTGAAAAGGGTAGAAAAGGGGGTCAATGTAGGCCTATCCCTAAGGATCCAAGTACCTCATGCAGAGTCGAACTGGGTATGGGACCATCGAAGCATAGCATCCCCAGTTCAACATACACTCACCACCGATGTCGGTGTCAGAACACTGCACGGTGCAAAGATTGCACTCACCACGATATCGTTATCAGCTTATGGAATTTGTTGACCATGGACCAGTGTGCATGGACAATGATGTTCTGTTCAGGGGTTTGAAGGCCACTTATGGAATTTGTTTGAGCGTCGTGATCCACCTGCATCATTTTCAAGGCTTGTGACACTGAGAGGGTCGAAAGATAGATGTTGATTTCATCATACTGCATGCTTCCACCTGTTGCATAGGTTTAGGAAGCGTTTGAATACCAAGGGCGAAGAAGGATTGATTGATTTGCCATGATGTCAGAGTGGAAAACTGGCTGAAAACAAGGCCGGCCCTCGTTCACGTAGGTATTACAAAGGCTTGGGAACGAGCACCGCCAAGGAAGCCAAGGCTGGGTCGCCATGGCAAAGGCCAGGGTGTCCACAACAGTGATCCAGGGAGAACCGACACTGTTTGCGCTCGTGAGGAGATGACTCTAATTAGACATCTATAGACTTTATATATTATATATATATATTATATATACGGTTCCATTGGTTTTGAGGGAGTCTTTCCAAGCAACATGCCGAAAGATGTGGGGAGTCCAAGGAGCAAAGATCAATCAAGTAGAGAACATGGGACGATGTTGAGCATTTTTGCGTATAAATGGCTCATGATACGCAATTTGCTGAGGTAATTGCGTGTATATATATCACGAAAGCTAGCCTTAGCTAGCTGGAGTTGCTCTTGCTTTAGCAAGTTAAGTGACGGGGTGGACGCACCTCAGAAACCTCAAATAATTGATTAAATCAATCTTATGGACCCCCCCCCCCCCCACCCTTCGACTCCCCCCCTGCGCGCGGTGAGCGGGACCACCAAGCAGCTGCAGCACACCAAGCATCTGCGCCCAGCGCAGCAGCGGCAGCAGCAGCAGCACCAGCAGCAGCAGCAGACCACCCAGCGGCGGCAGCAGCAGCAGCAGCATACCCATACCCAACGCCGCGGCAGCAGCAGCCGCAGCAGACCACCCAGCGCCAGCAGCAGCAGCAGCAGCAGACGACCCGGCGCCTGCAGAGCACCCAGCGCAGCAGCGCCCAGCGCAGCAGCGGCAGCAGCAGCACCAGCAGCAGCAGCACCAGCAGCAGACCACCGGAAGCCCGGCTAGCTTTCGTTCACCCCCTCTGGCCTCAAGTATATATATGCGTATAAATGCCAATGAGATTATCCAAGACAAATCTCATCTCTTGAGGTATATAATTAGACTTTGCCTCAGCTGTTGATGAGGCAAAAAGCCAAATGAGATCCCTGAATCCAGCTAGAGGGTTCCAGCCACCACACATTGGAAGTTATCCACTGCGTATAGTTAGGCCGTTGTAGGATTCGAGTACTTTCAGAGCTGCGTAGCCTCATAGCTCCAGATACCCTTGGAGGCCAGACATGTGGCGCAGTGACAGATGACCTAACCTCACATTCAGAGCTTCCAGTTCTGGGTGACACGTCGTTTGGAAAACATCTTGACCATCCCGAAGTGGCCCCAAAACACTTGGTTTACGGAGAAACAACCGCCCTTAGACAACCTTCCGGGATCGAAGATCGGGCCGTTCGCACCGGGGTTCACCGGGTGGTTCGTTCGACCGGAGAACCCATCATGGCTGGTCCTCAAGTAGTGAGTTCTCCACAACGATCGGCACCGACCAAAGAGGAGAACCACAAACGTTTGGTGATCCAAAGCAGTGGTGAACATGTTCCACGAACTAAAAGCTGTTTATCACCCAGACACTCCATGTATGCCATATATGCCGATCAGTTGGGGTGGTTTGGGGGGTCAATGTAGGCATATATTCCATACATGCAGTCTATGGGTCATATATGGTCATATCATATCGGATCATATCGGTATCACTTCAGAACGATTGCTGCCAGAACGTTACTGTATCTGTATAGGTCAATATTGAATCGGTGAATCGGTTGCCATATAGAGACTGCTAAGGATTGCCAAAGGGTTGGTGGCAGAGTCTTTTCCGTGTGCTTGCGCTTGTGCACTTCACAGTTGTTCCTTTGATGAATAAGACAAGTGGATGTGATGATATATAACTAATTAGTAGTATAATTAGTATAATTACTACATATATCATTATATAATTCTGTCGATAGGGCAGGCTTGTCCCACCAAATGCCGTCCCATACACTGCTCAGGAATACTTCAGTCAGATCGAGCGGCATGAAGTGAAATTTCATTGGGCCGGCGACCAGGACACACGTTTGCAACAGTTTGCTGGTGTGTGGCGTTAGCATGTCTCAAACATGGCTTAGTTGGATTCGATTCAGACATTGTACGAGGGAATCAACGAGAAGAGAAAGAATTGGCAGCAACATCTAGACAAGAAGACTAGGACAAGTTCAAGGCAAAACGCACACCCCTTCAGATGGCCGTATGTTTCTTTCCGAGATGGAAGGGACTGTGGGGATGTGACAAGGGCTGGGGCCTTGTTTTGCAGGATGGGGAGGCCATTGACTTGGCCTTCAACAAGAAGAGGGCTGACGACCGTAAGGACCGCGAAGAGCTCGTGGTGAGGGGAGGGTTGGACATGTTTGGAAGAGGTGGTGACCCAAGAGAATCCCACAGGCAAGTTTCAGAGAAAAACAGAAAACACCAAGAAAAGAACTCGAAGCAGCCGCTGGTTCTGGTTTTTCTCGCCTTTGGGCCCTTTGGGCAGCGAAGAGTCTCCTCCGGACTTGGGACACCGCCCTTTGGTGTCGCCCTTGGGTACGACTCTCTAACCCCCGGGTTGGGACTTGGGGGTCAAGGTTTGCAAGGTTTGTGGGGGCTAAGGGCCTACGGCATGTACCAATGAATGTGTTCTGAAAATGGGTCGGTGTGTATTTTAAGAGGCAGACCCCCAACCAATAAGCTACAATAAGTTATTGATATAGTTATTGAGTATTATCTCCTTCTTCCAGAGGGTCAAGCTGGGAGGCCTTCCTATTTGGATACACACTCAAGATCACTCAAGTAGGTAGACCCCCGGTCGCCGACGGAGCTCCTTTGGAGTAGCTGAGTAGCTGAGTAGGTGACTGTCGTGGCGGTGAGGATGGTCCAGGTATGGCATTCCATTATAGAATGCCCCTGGTTCCTGGTTACATCTTGGAACCCAGTATTGCCCAGTATTGTCCATTCCACTTCACGAGGGAGAAGGAGATCACTATACTACGCTCCATCTAACCAAACATGGGACGATTCATGACAGTCCCGGGTTTTGGTTCTCGGAAACTTGTCTTTCCAAGGGGCCATCCACTTCCACCATGATTCGTTTCAGGGAGTATACACTCCCTGGAACTAACATGGAAGTGGAAAACAACCTGTTTGTAGAGGAAAATGGTCTTCCAAGGGGCCATCCACTTCCACTTCCATGATTCGTTCCAGGGAGTGGGAGTGTAGTGGGTTTTCCTCCCACAATCCTACACCAGTCCTCCGACCATGCTGTGGAACGATCCGGTGTCGCATCGTGTATCCCTCTGGTCCCTGCTGCTCTATTCAGGTCTACGTCACAATGGGTGAACGTACTAGTCCAACCAGGTAGGTAGTGCCACCCACAGCCATTTGGTCGTGACCATCCAGGATTGGATCAACAGCTATGAAGATGGCATGGTGGCCAGCAGCCCCAGCGATGGGACAGGACGTTTGAACCGACTGCGGGTGTGATATTTTTGGGGGATGTGTACTGGTATCCTTTGTGGACACTTCGGGGGGGTAGTACTTAGTATTGTCGGCGCTTGTCAGCTGAGTTTCGGGTATGCCCTGAGATCTTTTGGAAGGATGCAGCATGCAACATGATGCAGCTCACTTCTGACCGAGTCTCGTCGCCGCAGAAGGGCGACGAACACCTGAGGTGGACCACACCAGACCCATCGCCTACACCGACTTCATCAACAAGGCGACGGCTTTTCCGCATCTGTGAACCTGGCCAAACAAGTACTTGAGAAAAGCAGTGAGTTTTTGCAGGGGGGAATCTGAAAAATTGGAATTGTTCAATGTCCACCTCCTCCGGTATCTAAACAGAACGGCTAAAAGGGTGGTGATTCAACTAGTGGGTGTACAGTAACGGCTATAGAGTGTAACTGATGAGTTCAATTCTATAGTTGGTTTACCCGAAGGCATCTGGAGGTAACTCCTTTTCAGATCTGCGCTGACCGATAGACCAGCCACTTGCAAGATCTTCTGGAGAACTTCAAGGTCAAGGTCGGACATACTGAGTCGACACTCTATTCTCATCTCCAACTTTAAGGTCACAGATGTGAATGACATTCTGTGTTTTCGCCTTCTTGAAAGCTACTTGCCATCGTTTTCCCGAACCTGACTACTTGCTGAGGAGCTTGTGCAGTTCGCCAAGTACGATGTCCAGAGGCTAGGAGGGGCAGCATCAAGATGTTTAAGGCTACATGGAAGGTCTAAGGACTGTGGAGAATCGATTTCAGGTGGCACAAAGTCTTTGCGGCTCTTAATATATATATAGTTATACATATATACATAATATTGGATCAGTGAGGTGTTTGTTTACCATTTGATGGTTCTTAGATGTGAACATTCTTACAACATCTTACAACAAGTCGCTGGCTTTCAGGAGGTTTGCGACTTGGGATCCATGATCCCAAGTGTTTTGGTCCCGTTGGTCACTTTGGAATGAGTGCTTTGGTCACTTTGGGGTCTCACCGAAACGTCCAAATCTTCGAGGGTCAAAGGGTGCCGCTAACACTTGACCACCATGCTTCAGTCTAATCCAAGGTGCCGCAAAGGTGCAGAGTGCAGACTTAAATATGTTGATCGGCGCCAGCCAAGATCGGAAACCTACACACCTACTACTGCAAGATGATACAAGACAGTTCTGAAATATGACGTAGCTATCTCTTCCTTCTTTTCTGAGCCTCCTCGTTTCGGCCACCCTTCACGACGTTTCCGCCTCTCCCAAGAGGTCGGTACCTTCAGTGGTAGATGGCTTCAAGCCGTCACAGAGGAAGGCCGGGTCTCGGGTGTGGGCGAACGTGTGTTGATACGGAAGCAGCTGATGGTATTGGTCATGGAGCCAGATGTCATCCCCCCAACTCTTAAGCTCTTAAATCTGGGGGGTGGAAGGTCGGGGGGAGGGGTCAAGCACTCTATGAATTTGTTTGTTTGAAGATTTGTAGATGTGTTCTTTCGTGGAGACATTGATGCATCCTTGTGCCATCGGACATTCAGTCAACCTACCAACTCTTATAATGATTCTATGTTCACCTAATCTTCACTGGAGTCACGGTCGTTGTTGTCGATTAGGGATGGCCTTGGAACATAAAATGGAAAACACATCTATTAGGACCTTACGACGCATCCCTCTGTGCTTTCAGAACTCATTCTGACCATCCCTACACGTAACTTCTTAAACCCCTGGAAAACAGTCGTTTCCTCAGTGTCTAGCTTTGGTGCAGCGTAGCGAGGGGGCTTTCTCAGGCAAAAAGAGTGAGACACGGGCATCCAACGCACCCAAGGCTACTGTGACATCAGCATTGGGGGACCCTGGTTGACCACGGAAAATGAACAGAATAGACTACCGGAGAGGTCTTTGATCCATGACATGTAGACGAGCATCCATCATTTGATCCAAAAATGCTGCTGCCAGGTGCTCTTTTGTGCCTTCAAGAAGCGCCTGTCGAAAGCTCAGCTCTGTCGAGAGACGGATGCCTGAAGTCAGGCTGGAACAGCTGCCCCATCTTTGTGGGTGGTCAGGAGGTGTCAGGTCCTGTGTTCAAACTTTGAAGAGGAACAAGGAGGATAACAAATCAATTGTAATTACCCAGACACTCCATGTATGGTATATTTACCTACATTGGGGTGGTGCCAGGGGGTCAATGGGGCGGCATATATTCCAGTCCCATTGGTCGTGTATGGGTTAAGACAAGGGCCTTCATGAGTTGCGACCGGTGCTGCGCACAGCACGGACTGTGCACCAACTGCTTGGATGTAGCAGAGCTTCGATTGTGTGGACGTAGACGTCACTGACATCGATGGCTATGCCAACTTCATCCGGGAAAGGCCACCTGAAACGCTTTGCGGAACGATCGATCGGGTCCTTGGGCACCTGGTGTTCAGCCACTTTCCCTTCCACCCACTTCGACTTCTACCTTTGTTTACCTATAGAAACCATTTGACATAAGTTTTGAATGGAATTAAACATTATATGAACGTACAATGTTTTGGCTCCGAAGACTTTTGAAGATGATGTGTCAGTTTTCCAGAAGAGGGTGTGAGAACCTTCCCAGATCCAGGCCAACGTTCCTCTCTAGGCGTTGCCAGACTGTATCATATGACATGTACAAGCATCTTGTATCATGTCTTGTAAAGAAACATAAAACAAAATAACTGCTTCAAAGTCCAACACCATATTCTCCACTTGAGTGGAGGGTCCACCCTCTCACCATGATTGCAAGCAAACAGCGGTGAGATGATGAGACCCTTCTTCTCTTCAACGCGATCGAGCGATCCCAGGCGTCACGATATCAAGGTGGCCCAGTTTGCAGGGACTCCGAGTGAGAAGATCGCAGCAATGCAACCAATTAGATACCACACATGAGTTAGGCCCGGTACTCAGCCTTTGGCTGATATGGGACTGCATTGTCTAGCTGGCTGATGTCAATTTTGGTCACCCAAAGAGTGCATGGCTTCCATCCTCCGGAGGCCCAGTCTCGGGGCGCAGTTTTTGGTGCCATCACCCATGGAAACACCGAAGAAAGTGCCATGGCGATTGAGGTGGGCTATATCTCCGAGCACTCCGCTTATCACCACGGAGAGGTGAGGCATGGGGGGAGGTCCCCGGTTTGCAGCGACAGAATGGGGGAAAGCCCCCGGTGGTTCTGGAATTAACAATGATGTTTGTTTTTTGTTGTCTCACCTGAGAACACATTTATTCCGTGTGTGTGTTTTTTTTTGTTTTCCGTGTGTGAATGTTGATTTCTAGGGCTCCTGGCCTACCTCCTCAGAAACCACCTTCTCAACCTACCCCAAGCACCTTTGAAAAGAAGCTAGTTGGAGCCTAGTCCGGCCGAATGGGAGAACTGCCCGGACCCTTTGAACGTAGGTCTACGCAACAACTTGGGCCAAGAAAGGTTTGAGGCCCGAGGCTTTCTTCTTGTTATGAAGCCTCGTTCCTTTTGATGTTCAAACGATTGTTTGCTCACCAAGATGTTGATGTTCATGTCTTACTGCACAAATGATACTTAGACCAAGATGCAGATGTTGATGCTTTACTGGACAATTTTGCATAATTTTGGATGGTTCTACTCAGACACGAGCCAGATCAGCGTATTAACGGATCACCAGCCATTGCTCTAAAGAGAAAGTATTCTAATTCTATAAGCCCACCTTGCAGGGGATACAATGCATGATGTACATAAGAGGCTTGTAAGTGTGTTCAAATTGACATGTTCATATTCTTCATTTCATACGACCTCAGAAGCTGGGTGGATCCCTGCAACTGTATACAAGTCATGTTTTATTCAGGGAACTTGCAAGCCATCGGCCCTGCCGGCACCAATTTCGAGGTCTCTTTGGAGAACACCATCGTGAACTTGGCTCAGAACTTCGTAGGCGTCATCAGCACGGACAGCACGGACAGCCGATGGGTCGACAGTGGACAATCCGGTCGACATGGTTTGGATGATCCAAACAACTGGAGAGGACTCAAACAGTTGAAGCATGTTGCATGCTGCCAATGGATTGAACCATTAACGTTTGAGACAACACATTTACAGCAACATCTTGCTCCGTTTTTCACCACCACTGTGCACAGCTGTGTGTGTCCATGGCTTATGGTTTCAATTCACTTCCTGTACTCATCGACTCGTTCCTCACATCTTCGGTTGGACCGGCCAGGCTCCAACAATACGAACTTCTTGGTCCCTTCGGGGCAGTTTGGTACCCGCTTGCAGGGCGGCAAGGACGGCGGTGGCGAGACCGCGGTGGAAACGGTCCTCCGTTTGTTTGGGGGAAGAACGGTGGGTGGAATAGACATGTGTGTGGGGTCGGGAGAAAGATGTACTCTGCATTTGGAAGGTGTTTGGAAGGCGTGGGTTTGGAGGGTCTAACAACTACTTGAGGTATAAGTTGTATTCGAATAAGGAAAGATGGGTAGCGGTAGCGGTAGCATTCACAGGATCCTATTGGGGTTGTCCCCCAACAAGTTCATGAACGAAGCTTGGTTACTTACTTGGTCGAGTCTATTTTGATTTACTGAGGATGGACCTACTATTTTGTTGCTGGGAACCGTGATGCTATTCTTGAGAACCCAGTTGATTGAATAGTTGCAGCCAATAGGCATCTATAATTAGTGATCCCAAGAATGAATCAACCTAGACTTGGGATTTTGACCTGGAGTCTCCAAAAGTACGAAGAGTCAAAAGCCTCCCCTTGACCCTTTTCTTTCTCATAAGCCGGTTACTGGCGGTACGCCAGTGACCAGCTTTACACAAAAAGGAATGTATACATGGGTGTGTATCAATAGGGAGACCTCCCAAAGTCTCCCTGACAGAAGGACAAATAAACCAGTCAACCCATTGGTTGGGTCCCCTATTCAAGTTACACACCCATGTCATCCCATATAATGAAGATCCCTTTCTTCAACTTCACCGCTCCATATCCGCCGCTCCACGCAGCTCATGCAGGACCACGCGGCCTCGCGTTACATCTACACCAGGTGCTCCAAGCTCCGAGCTCCGGGTGGAACCACCGTATCGCTGGGAACGAGCCCTCGGGTGGAGCCGTGCGGTGGGAGCCCTCTCCGACCTACTTCCGTGGAGGTCCACGGAAGTGGAGTGGAGTCCACGGAAGTGGTGTGAAGGAAAAGGGATGAAACGATGAAAGCAGGTTCCTGAAACGAGCCCAGATTGCATCCACTAGCCTCCATGTTTGTGATATGTGCGTTTTTCCGGCGACATTCGAAGAACTGCTTGGGCACTGGTCACTAGCGGCAGTGACCATGAGAGAAAGAATGAACCAAGGAGCGTGTTCTCAGTTTGGTTTGGTTGGTTCCTGTCAACGGAGATATTTTCCCACCACATTTGTTCTTCAATGGAAGAACTTTTCAAGCACCATCCACTTGGGTCCCCTCAAAGATGCTCATATTATTGGGTGGGGCGCAGAACGAGGGAGGGTGGTGAAGGAAGGCTAGACTTCGACTGGGTATGGTAGGTCCATCTGAGTCCGTCTCGTTCCTAACAGTGGAAAGGCGCCACAATGAACCATCTTTGGTTCAAAAAGCAGACAAACTGCGGAAAGCTCCGACAGGATCCCTGATGCACATCATATTGGGGAGATGAAAAAGCTGTGACAAGCTACAAGAAAGTACCCTAAACCAGGGCCTTCAAGGGGTGGTTGGACACCCCGAATCACGGCTGTTTGGGGCAATAAATATAGACATCGCCACGGTGTCGGGTCCTGGTCGTTGCTTTCGTTTCGACTCACCGCCCTGGACCGCTTCGCCCGGATCGTCGCCAGGTTGAGCCCGGTGACCCGTGTGCTGTTTCAGCAAGACGATGCCCCTCGACGGTCGGGCGGGTTGTGAAGAACCGGTCCTAAAAAAGAACAATGGGGATGGGGTTAGTCCTACTATTACCTGCAACAGTCAGTAAAGAATGATCACTATTTTTGGACAAGGCCTGCAACCGAACCATCATCATCCACTGTTACAGGTAATAGGATAGACCCAAACAATTGGGATGGACAGAGTCTTGCTACACAGCATAGAGAGAAGTAAGACATGAGGGGGAATCCCCAGTGTTTCCATGGTGTTCTGGCTGTCCGAGCTGGGAATCATTTCAGTGCAAGCCTTCCCGGGGGCCTTCTGGAAGCCCGAAACATGGTGAACAGCATGAAAAGCATGATCCATTGGTGGCATACAGATTTATGGTGGAGGACCAGGACCGCCACCAGGACGCGCCGACTGGCGATGATTCGATGATCCATCTTCGAGGATTCTTGGGATTTTGTCAAGGTCCAAAACCCCCGTGTAGACCCTGATAGCCCGGAGCGCGGAGCTCAAGGCCCGCTTGTCCGGAGCCCGGTTGACCCTGGTAGATGGACTTTCTGTTCATAGCCCCTGGTGAACAGCGAGCCTGGGCCCGTCCGGTGCCACAGGCAAAATGGGACTCCTTTTTGTTCTGGAACGCAAGCGGATGGCACCTTCTTTGGAGCCCCGCCCAGGCAAAATGACTAGTAGTAAAATGTTTTTTGTTGCTCAAGAAGCTCCTCTCTCCCTTGCACCGATGTTGTGAATCATCCAGCTTTGTGTGCACCTTGACACCTGAAGGAAGATGTCTAAGAGCTTCCATCAACTGCAACTAGTACCCAAATCAGCGGAGATGCACCAAGGACCATGTCCTGAACTACTTGGAAGAAGAGGGCCTTTCCATTGAGCCGCAATGGTGTGGCCCCCTGGGCAGGTGCTTCTTCCACCATACATCATAGCCAGGTGAAACACACACAGCTCGAACATGTCCAAAGCAGGCAAACTCTACTCCCTGGTTCAGTCAGAATGAACCATCTCTGTCCATAAATTCCTTCATAACAACCGATCTATAGGCAGCAATCACGATGGAACAAATCGATATGTTTGTGCTTTGTGCTTTGTTCATAATATCACCGTTATACTCTAGCAAGACGAGCTATGCCCCGCCAAGCCATGCACAGAACCTGGAAGTACATCAAGACTTGGAAGACCCCAGCTAAACGCCGACGTCCAGCGTTGCACTGGCTGCCCTGGGAAGAGCTGTGGTGGTGTGATGGAGAATCGTGCAGGCTGCGCAAGAGAGTGCATGCAAGGGGACTCCAGACATGGACCCAATCACTCCATGTGGTTGAGGAAGGTTGTAGGTCAAAAACCACAGGTACTTGGTGTGTTGTTGTCCTTTTAGGAAGGCCTTATGGTTGCTGCAGATCTTGTGTGACCCACTACATCCCACTACCATGCCCCTTTTAGACAGAGATCTTTGATCATGTTGACCATTTGTCAGAGTTTTTTTCCCCTCATAGAGTAGTTGTAGCTTCAAAGACACATCAAACCAACTGAGAAATACTCTCGCAACTGGATTCCTGGAATTCAGTGGTCTAGGTGCAGTTTCCAGTACAATGGTTCCTACCTTTGGGTATGACCTCTTGGCCACCAGCTGCATGGTCCCTGCCATCCCTGCCAGCGCAGGTATTGCCCCACCTTGCCCACCGTGCTGGTGAACGGTGCCGAAGGTATTGGAGTTGGATGGAGCACCAGCATTCCCAACTACAATCCACGCGACATCATCAGGACCACCGTCGGGGGTCCCACCCCGGACCTTAGCATCCGGTGACGTTTGCTGGAAGGGGTTTGTTGGGTTCAGTGCAAGCGGTACGGGAAACCAATGCTTCACATGGATGAAGATGTCAAGCTTGAAGGCGTGGCATTACATAGACAATAGTCTCAATCCATTGGGGTAGGTAGACAGCCCGTAGCGCTGTAGTCACAGACTGGTGAATCCTCAAGGTCTTTAGCAAGTCGTTCTTTGAGAACTACCATCAGCCAAGGAATGCACTGCCTCTATGGATCCACATACTTTCCCAGAAGGTATTTGGGCCCTCCAAAACTCCAAGATAAATAGTCTCCGTTCTCACCTTCTCAGAAGGTATGTGGATCCATAGGGTGCAGGTGGAGGGTATACCACCCATCCTCCGTTCCTTTCATTGGTGTTGCAGACATCGTACCGAGCGAAGCGGCCAAGATGTTGCAGGAATATCCGGAAGATGCTGCGAGGACTGCCCATGGAGGATATGCATCCTTGGTACAAGGCCGGGATCAGGGGTTCGAACAGGGCTGGGTGGCTGTTGCTTCCGAGGTTTTTGTTGATGAAACATGGTACGCATCGAGGTTTTTCTGCTGAAATTAGCAGACCTTTCCTGACGGTCTCGTCATGTTCGTCTCACCGTTCGAATATCGTTCGAATATGTTTGAATTAATTTAACTGTATATAACTGTATAATTTCAGTATATGCTCGTTTCAAGGGACTTTGTGTCCTACATATTCCAAACACCCTCGCACCACAAAAGGTTGTTAATGTTTGTCCCCCTTTTCACTGTTTGCCCAGCGTTTCTCCCGACCCCCTCGGAGACGCGCAAGTGTCAAGGGCTTCATGGGTTCCATCGAGCCCTCAGAGAAGGAGGATTGCCGGTGTTGTCCTCAGTGTTTCATCCCATTTTTTGCTGGAGGTGAACGTGCGTGAGTCTCCGACATGTCATAAGTATGCTTGGGGCGAACCCACGTTTCAAACAGCATCTTGAGGTTTGAGTCGGATTGAGAATGTTGGCATTTGCAGGTTGGCTCTAGTGAACTAGTAGCCAATCGAGAAGGAGGAAGCTTGAATGGCGGCCTGTTTTTTAATTGGCAAAGGAGGATGCTTGGTATCTTGCTGACGGTTTGATGAACAGTATTGTACTCCTCGATTCCTCACCTTGTTCGTCCCCCAACCCTGCCGGGTCTTGCAGGGGGAACCGCGGAAAAAACATCCGTTGTCTTTGGTCCATGTGGTCTCTGACGAAGACATCCACGTAATACTATGTGGCAAAAGCATTTGTGAGCTGTGAGCCCCCAAAGGGTGATCTGTGAGCTTTTTCAGGATCTTCCAGGAGTTGCATGTCGGGGTGCTTAATGGAGGACATCGGTGTGCCCCTGTCACATCCACTTACTGGATGGGACTAAACACCACACCACCCAACTCCCATGTGACTCCAGGTTTCATCGATGTTCCTCTGGGCATAGATATCAGATAGATGATGGCCTTTTACTATTAGTTGGTTGATTCATAGAGAGGATACCCCCCAAGTGTACCAAACCGACCCATCGATTCTTCCCAAGTCAGGACACCACGGGAAGCACCACAGCGTTCCACGCGCGTTGCAACGCCCTTCGTCCCAGGTACGAGGTGACGGGTGTGATCACCAAAACTTCGGACACCACCGTGGAGATCACGGAGTTGCCCATCAAGCCACGTGGTTTGGAAAACAAACACATGGAAAAAACAGACATGGTCTAGGGATCCAAGTACCTTCTCAGAAGGTGATTGGAGACACTTCTGGGAAGGTACTTGGATCCCTAGGGATGAAAAAAGACATGAATTCGCCTGAAAACTATGTCACAGAGAGGAGTCACAGGTGAACCCGAGGAAATGATGCACATAATTATGTAGTTGTTTTTGTTGGGTGGGACGGAGCACATATACGTTACTATACAGCTGAAATGCGTGGAGTTGAAGAGTTTCTCGCTGGGGAGTGCACCCAAATGGTTCAGTCCTTTTCCGTGGGAGGAATCAAAAAGGCCATTTCGGCGATGGGTTCATCGACCAGTTCTTTCGAAAGGTTGGTGCCCTACTCCGGGTCCTAAGATCCAGGAGTCACAAGACGGGAGGGATGTCTATCGGAGGATATGGGTGCCCATGATCTTGGTTGAACCTGGTAGTCCCAGGACACTGGGATTCATCTCCGCATCCTAAAACCGCTCAAGACACCGCACTGGTTAAATCTGGTTCACAGGGTAATAGGACTCTCTATCCTGTTTGGTTTTTTGAGATACATAGGATCCCATGACCAGTCACAGTCGGTAAAAATTGTTTATCACTATTTTTTGAGAAGGCCTGCAACCTGACCATCATGATCCACTGATGGTCATGGGATATACCCAACGTATAGTTCAAACAGCAGTTCAAGTATTTCAGAGGCCACCCATTTGAAGATGATGATGTGTGTGCGCCCGCCCTATTCGGTCGATCTCCCAAACGCCTCGTCTGGGGTTGCTTCTCTCCAGACCTCGCCGAAGGAAGAGGTCCGACTCGTGACTCGTGTGTGTGTGTGTGTTCGGCACCTGAGGGCCTGGACTCAGAACTACAAGGAATTCCTGGAGGCACCGTGGGTCGCTCGCCGCGGCGCTCGCCGGAACGCACCACGGTCGTCGGGATGGAATGGCCTGGCATGAAACCGGGCAGAAGTGGGGCACGGAGAGATCAGATGTCAATGCCAGTTTGGTAGAGGATTTGATTCCACAGCAGTATTCATCCAAGTACAGTTTGTTTGATTGAAACGCCCTATTGTTTGAACCTGGCTGGATTTAAGAATTGACTTACATGCACATGCCTTGCCGGTGCTCATTCGGTCGAACTTCCCTCCGATGCTGAAGTCATCAGTAGCTCACTGAGTTCTCAGGGCTGAACTGATTGTTGGGTGTGACGGGAAGAAAGGTGTTACTGTCACTGTTCCAATGATTTCTAAAGGAGGTAGATGTGACAGGCGCCACGCCCAAAACACATTTCTATATATATATAGTGTTGTAATGGTTAAAGTAGTGTTTGCGTTTGTTTGCGCCCTGCTTTGTGACTTCCGTTGCGCGAGCGTGATGGAAGTGCTACTGCTACAGCAGCACTTTTGATGGTAGTGCTGCTGTGTTTTGGAAGCAACTTGCCTTGGCTGGTGTCTAAAGGAGATTCCTTTAAATAGTGTAGGGTAGCCCTATCCGTTCGATCATGTTCTTCGCTGACAATCACCCACAGCATTGGAACGTCGACCACGGCTGACCCTTTGCGTCCGATTTGGTGTCCTTGGCTTTCTCCGTTTGCCCCTCAATATTGAATGGCAAGAAAAGACTATTTGCCAACGAGTGTGATAAAGAGGAGTAGTGCAAGGTTGTCCATTGGTGACCCCCGAGTGGCAGCAGAAAATAAAACATAGAGGACCTCCTGAGTCCTGGTGTAGTTCATTTTACGGAGCCGTTCCCGCTATCCTCGCGCTTCATCGTTTCTTACCGCTACAGAGGTTTCAGAGTAAATGGCACAACCCCCAAGATGTCTTTTAGATGGGGGTCCATATATCATATAACCACTTAACTTGGGAATTGCCTCCTGTCCTCTGAAAGCACTGTAATTTTCCGTGGCTGCAGGAGTGTATGGCAAAGGATGGCAAGAAAGGTGCTCCGGCAAGTTGACCAGGGTTGTGTGATGAACGCCTTGACATTGGCAGTGATTCAACCCCGGGGCTCCTGGCCCATATCCTCAGGCTTCGAAAACGAGGTAGTTGGAGCCCCCGGGCACATCAAATAGCCTAAGTCCGGCTCCACATAGTTTCCTGGAGAACTATCTTTTTGTTGTTAAGGTTTTGGGGAAGATGTGATGGGAGGACTCAAACTACCTGTTTTGGATCTTTTGGCCAACTAAGAGACATATCATATCGTATACAGCAATCGCGAGACGGCCATATCTTTGGGCTGCTGGTGAAGCTCGCCCCTATCTTCAAAGGGCAGAGATTGCCAAGAGAGATTGAGTGACCTTATGGCACCCTACAGGGGTGCACCCTACAGGGGGTACCTATGGGATAGTCCAGAGGTTTCTTCAACCTCTGGTGGTGTGCATCCGCAGCAACCGACGATCGTCGACAGGGGTGTCTGGAGCCGAGCCGCAAAAACCGGGGTGCGCACGAGGGCAGCAAAGCCAACGAGGACAGGTTCTGAACCCTGAAAGCTCCAGAAATGAATGTAGACTCTTGATTGACCGAACTGAGGTTTTGCAATCCAGGATTCTTTGTTCATGAACAGGGTCTACATTACTGTACCACATCGGAAGATGAACAGTGCATTTGGCATGAACAGTCGTGCCCCGGCTCTTCCTGGTCGCTGTCCAAAAGCGGACCCAACGCAAGAAGTGTCCTGACTGGAGCCCATCGAAGCACACCAACTTTGAGGTTCTTCATCTTGCGCGCCCTTGAGGACCCCGTTTTTGAAATCAGGAATCGGCATGAACAGGTTTTCCCATCTTTTGACATACTAACTTACTACCTTATGTGCACTCCATGTGTGGAATACATACCTACAGTCTACAGTGACCAATCAAACCACCCCAATGTGGGTAAATGCGCGTTACAAAGTCAAGGATATGCAGATGGGGGAGGCTTTCGCCAGCTTCAACAGTATGACAGTCTCACAGCCTCACTTGTTTCCCTACAAGTCAATGAGCTCATTCTACTGCAGTTGGTCATACAACAGCACTAGTGTACTTAGGTCAGAAGACTCAAGACCAGGTTCTAGTGGGTCGGACGCTTTCAATTCAAGCAAACAAAGCTGGCCAGGTGAGGAATCCGAGAGCCTCATCGAAGATTTCAAGGAACATCACAGTGAGAGTGGCTTGGCGCACTGCTCAACTGGTCGTCATGGGGGGTTTCTCTGGTCGTCAACGGGCTCTCGGTGAAGCTTCCTTCTTTTGGGTTAATTTTGCTTATATATGTATATATATATATTATGATTACTCAATATGTTTTTTATGCACATCAACCCATTCGCAGACACTGTCCAAAATGAGATCGTAGGACGGAGAATGAAGCAAATCTATAGAAGCCAAGAACATTTGCTGTAAAGATGAAACTACCTCTTCCATGACCTCCTATACCACACCCCATTCCGGACCTATTCCACACTGAAGAGCTTCCTTTTCCCCAAAGACCCACCCGCAACACCGCTCTCCCCCCACGCAGCATTGACTCAGCGGAGTTTACACGGAGGCTCAGTCCACTTCGAGATCACCATGAGCGCGGCGAAGCTGAAGGAAGCCGAGCAGGCGGGTCTGGCCGGGGCACCCAGTGGAGCTGGCTGCCTTAGGATAGGAACTGGAAGCGAGGATGGCAAGGTGGCTGCCTTAGCTGGCTGCCTTAGCTGGGGTGATGGAGGATAGGATCTGGAAGCTTTGGAGGATGGCAAGGTGACCCTCCCAAGGACCGGACGAACATGAGAGACGGCCCTGACAAAAACCCTATGCATGTTGTAATTCGCTTAAAGGTTGCTTGTATATACAGCACAGTATAGTTGTAGAGACTTAGAGGCTGGTGGTACTGGAGAGAGTTCCCCGTCACCGCTGAGGACCCAGCCTGGACCTTTGGAGGTCACCGGTCACCGATTTGGGCCATCCAGCAAAAACATCTCACTGTGGTCGTCGTATACGTCCATGGTCGTTTTGTTGGGTTGCTTCAAAAGCATGAAAAAGGCGCTAGGCTAAAAGGCGCTCTGTGTATGTTAGCTGGATGACGTTGAATGTCTATTTTCCTTGGCACCGGGCACCGGCAGTTCGCCGAACGCCGAACGCCGAACGCCGCCGAGGAAAAGACCTTCAAGCTGAAGTCTTCGCTGTCCACGCCGGGGGCTGTTGGGATGTGCGGTGGTGCCTGGGTCGGTGGTGAAGGTGATGAGTTTCATCACAAAGAGAGGTTGAGAGACCTGAACTAGGACCCGAACTAGTGGTACATATGGGATAGGCAACAGTATAGGGTTTAATCTTCTTTGGCAGGCTGTGTCTCAACAAAGGGAGGGGATGAAAGAGACATCCCGGCAAAGAGAGGTCGATGAAATCAGTCGTGGAGAGATTCTCTTCATGGCAGACCCGTAACCCAAAGAAGCGAGCGAAAAACAGTTGTGGTTTAATTGCTGCAAGTGCCGGGTTTCTTGGGCGGGAGTCAACATCCAGACAATCCCTGCGGACGAAGGAAATGCCTTCTTCGAACCTGGCTTGCTGCCCTGGACATGGAACCCCTCAAAGACTCAAAGAGAGGGAGCACAACTGGAAATGGATCCATGAAGGCCAAAACATGCCAAAACTACCCTAATGAGTGAGCCCAAAAATGTCAAGGCTAGTACTAGGGATATATATCCCTACCAGCTGCAGGATGTGATCCTTCGGTGTTTCGAGAGTTCAGGGAGTACCTTCGGTCCTCGTGGAAGGCTCGGTTCTGTCTCCTGTGAGGTCCAACATGGTCCTGTTCGACGCGGAAGGGAAGATTGCCAAGTACAACACGGCCCTGGACATTCTGAAGGAGTTCTGCCGACTCAGGCACACCTCAGTGGGTCAAACACAGGTCCACCGGATGGGACGTCCGGAAGGCCAAGCTGTTGAAACGACAGACGTCCCCTGGAGAGCACTGTGAAACTGGGGGAAGCCAGTTTTGAGATTGTGAATCATCTGAGAATCCTGCAGCAGGTGGTTTGTGGGGTCTGGGACTGTGGAGCTGAAGCTCTTCAGTCACAGTCGGACCTCAAAAGAGCTGTGTGGACTAGAGTAGATGTGCAAAGAAGTGATGTTCTTACTTCCTACCAAGCTCAAATCTGTCATATGGAGGCTCACACCAGGGGACCGTGAGTTTATGTGTTGCATGTTTTGTTTGGTAGGTGTATATATATATATATGTATATACACATACTGTATATAATCAATTATAATCAGGCATAATATATACCATAAATACTACAGTATCCCTCAAGCGAAGCTACTTGTAAGATGTGTTGGGTGAGCCCTGTAGATTGTCGTTGGTGTTTGGATTCCACTTTGCTAGGGCTAGGACTCGTTCACCAATGCATTTCGTCTGGCAGCCGGCAGAGCAGATGATAATATGTCAAAGGAATCCCCAACAATCCATGTATATGAATATTTGCCTACCAGGATCATCCAAGGGGTGTCCAATGGAAGTCCATAAGCAGTGTAGGGTAGCCTATTGGACACCCATTGGATGACCCACGTACATTGGTCCTTAAAGCATCTTAAAGCCACCCTGATGCAGGCAAATGCTTCCATAATCTTCCATATGCTTCCATACATGGATTGTGTGGCAATCACTGACCCTTCTTTATCCTGAGTTCGGAAGGCACTGGTCTTGCGCTCCGCAACACCCAGTCTCGCGCTTCGCAGGCGGCAGATGTATCAGAAGCGGAAGGACTACTTGGTGGCGAAGCTGACGTTCCTTCACTGCAAAGTTGGGGTCTACATGATATCTTTCGAGGACATACATGGATTTGCCCACTGCAGAATTGCTACAGACCCTCATTTGTGTAATTGTTTCACTTCAACTGCTGTTTGAGTTCTTTGGGGGCCAAATTGAGATGAACACCGTTGCTGTATATTGCTATACATGCATGTGTGTGTATATATAATTGTATATATTCACAGTCTATATATTGTTATGTAGTGGACCACTTGTATGTAATGGCCCCTTAGTCCATTAAACAAGTCCTGTGTTTGTCGTCCAGACACTCGGTGTTTGTCGTCACAACTAGGCGCGAGACCGAGATCTTGAGCAACAAAGCACGCTTCATCCTGATGGTGCCTGGGCACATGCTGGGGCCAAGGGCGTGCCTTGCGTGGGCGGAAGTGTAGTGTTTTTGGGACGAGTGGTGTGAGAATGGTGCTTGCTGATGTTGATGCTCAGAATTCATCAGAATTCCTTGGGGAGCATTCTTGAACAGGCTAGCCACTTTGATTTGCACAAACTTATTAACTTATAGAACCTAGAATCGCCTAGAGTGAATCTGCGGTTTGATGTTGACTGTGATGGGCCATCCATGATGAATCTGCGGAGCGAGGCTAAAATGAGTGGAAAAGGCTTGGCCTTCATCTTCCAAACCAAGATGGTCAGTTCCCTGAAAACCTGGGCCATCCAATTGTCTCCAATCGTGGCACTCACAGCGCACCAACTTGGTATCACAAAACCTTCAAAGAAAGCCACACACACAAACCAAGCTGGAAAACTCCCCCGAGCTGCGTGGATCTCAGGTGGTGAAAGGAGAGCTGGAAATTCGGAGGACACAGCGCACGACACTGCGCGACGACGACACAGCGCAGCCAACGGAGCCTAGTCAGTGTTTTCAAATGTTCTGCAAAAGATCATAAGATTAAATGAACTCAGCCGATACCCTTTGACTACTGGGCAGAATTGTTTCCTCTACAGTCAGGGTGTCGAAGTCCACTTCCATGGAACGCAAGTCGGAGTGTACTGCTTCGGATTCTAATCCCCATGGCTCACAACCACCAGCCTGTTCGCGGAATGCGTCGATGGACACGTCAATTCGCCAAAGACGAGGTGGACTCTTAGTTCTTGGAATTTAATACATATCTAGATCACCTCGAAAAGACATTAAATTATACAAGTTCACAACATGTCTTTAGATCATGGTCTGTTCATTTGCGAAGCCATGGATCGCCAGCCAACGGGATCGCCCTTCTTGAAGATTCACTCCAGGAAGAAGAAGGCGGACTTGCTTTCGGAGCTGAAGAAGCTCAAGTTCACTCCCATGAGCGAGTTGGACTCTCCGGTCGCAGCATCGCGAGTGGGACGCACCTCCCTGCGATAGTCGGTCCAGGTCCAGGCACAGCCCGCTGATCCACGGTGTCCTCCTGGAATGGCTTTTAGTGTGCTTGGATGGGGAAACACATACTTTGCTGGGCTGCTGGGTTTAGCCCTAGAGACCCAACATATGATCAAGTTCAATGACCTGGGAAGGCACAAGGGAAGGCCCGGATCTGTTTGGTTTCGCCTCCATCAAGCAGATGTGATGCAAGAAGACTGTCTTTGGCGCATATCCTGCAAACCATCCCCGCCTCCTTTACTACTAGGAACAAATGCCTTACTAGTAGTAACAAGTGCCTTACTAGTAGTAACAAAAAGCTATCCTTTCTGCACGATCCAACCAACAGAGACAAGGCGAGGACCAGACACTGAAGCCCGGAAATCCGATGGCTGCCCTCTGGGGGGACGACTGCTAAACCGGGACATCCGATGGCCTCAAGGGTGCAGGAACTCCTTAGTGACTGGCCAGGGGCGGGCAGTAGCAGGTTATCCCAGATATTCCCAGATGGTCTTCGCATCAGAGTGAAGTGATCCAAAAAATTTGCCTACATCATGTGATTATCGATGTCCATGATTCACCAGTCCCCCATGGTTGTTTCACCCATGCTTCGGAGCAGGGCCTCTCCAATCCCTGCGCCCCTGGCCAACACCAAACACGAAGAAAACGAGGACGCGATCATGAAAGGCAAGGCCACGGTAGATGAGGCGACGATCCGACGGTGGAATGGAGTCGCTTAGGGAGCCCTGGGAGCCAACAAAGGTAAACAGACCTGCCAAGGTGATGATGAACATGTTTCAACTAAGCCACGGTTGAACAAAGGGCTTTGGATTCCACATGATTCCACCCCTTTCATCCCTTTGTTGATTCCACCGCCTTTTCATCCCTTTTATTTTGTTCGATTCCATCCTCTTTTACCATGCCCTCACTCCACCAAGCCACGTACCGAGCTGGGAGGCGGCGGAGGCGGAGTCGAACAAGGACAAAGAGACACCGGACAAGACCGAGTACGACTACCTGCTGAACATGAACCTCTGGAGTCTCACGCAGCTTGGGATGAAAGGGCGATGCAAGGCATAAGGCCCGGCTTGCGCACCACAGTAGGAGCTACTGGATGAACGGGCGATGCAGGGGAAGGGGTAGATCATCATTCGATATCATACGTATGGCTTTGAGAGATTGCTTTTGGCCACATGCTGCACATGCTTTTTAAAATATGGATTTCATTGGACTTCATTGATAGGACAGTTTCATGCACATAATCTCATATGGCGTATAACATATCCTGCTACATGTCGCATATTTGCTCCAGTTCGACAAGGCAGTGGTGTGTGCACTTTCTTGAGGTATGAGAAGGTCGAGGAGATCAAGAAACAGCTGGAAGTGAAACAAGAGGACAGGGACAGGCTGTACATTGTGAGATACTCCGAGCAAATACCTGCTGTTCTACCAAATACCTGCTTGTTCTTCCAATCTGGTGTGTTTGTTTTGTGTTGTTTGAACAGAAATCGTCCCCATGGCCGGGCTGATGAAGACTGCCAGGAGTTGGAGAAGTTGAAGGCCACCACCATCGAGATGCTTTGGGACAAGGACTTGGAGGCTCGAGCTGGGCAGGTCGCTGGGGACTTTGGGATGATCGTCAGTGACAGCGTGGAGATGGAGCACCAAGGACAAGCCAATAAGATCAATAAGCCACGTCAAACTTGTCTTGGTATTTTTGGTTATTGCTTGTCTTTCCACCCCCCAAAAGAAAACAAGCCAGAGAACACATCAGCTTTCTCCGATCTTCACTCTCTCCCCGCAGAGCCGTTGCAGTTGGTGTGAGTGCGCTCACTTCCGGGAAGGATGAGGTGCTCGACCATGCTCCACCCTGCAGAGGTGGAACAGCCCGGCCCTTCAAAAAAAGCAGCCCATCCCCCATTTGTTGATTGGACACATCTCCAAGGCTTCTCCAGGCTTACCCTGAAGAGGTCACCTGAAGAGGACTTGTCCCCCATCCCCTCTCGGACCCCGCTGTTCTTCTCCTCTCCAGGCGGTATGTGCCGCGCTGGACGAGTTGGAGCGCCAAGAGGACGACGAGCTCATGGCCGCCGCCGAGGCGACGCAGGGCCGACAGGCCGTCGAGCGCAGCAAGGCGCCGGCCAAGCGGACCAGGAAGGCCGAGGCGGAGAAGGCGGGGTTCGACACCGTGTGGACCGTGTGGAGCCTGTTTGAAGGGGTGACCGGAGGTGTGGAGCGGTGGGATGATCTGGGATCTTGATGCAACTATGTATATTCCCTTCAAGGGGTGGTTAATGGACACCCCTTAACGGTTAAGGGGCTATAAATAGACACCTCTTGGAGATAAATATGTATATAATATATATGTTTCTTTTGTTCTAAGGGTTGAAGGGTGGGTGAGCGGTTTAGGGTTTAGGTTCAGGGTTGGAATGGATATGAGAGGCTTGGGATTGAGGCTTGGGTTGGTAGAAAAGCGAGATGAAGTGAGAGGCTACTTGCTGGTCAATTCATCCAGACGAGAGATCCCTGCTGAAGACGAGCGCTGAAACACAGGCGGTTCCATGCTCAGTGTTTGTGACCTGTTCCGTTAATTTGCTAGTTTTTGCTTTAGCTCATGGAAGCAAAATCTGGAGAGGCTTTTAGCTCATGAGGTCCAGCAACGACGTTGAGCGTTGGAACACCAGAAGATTGAGGCCAACAGATATTTACCCTGCTGCCTTCTTAAGCATTGATGGTCTAGACAACTGAATAGTCAAGCATTTTTCCATGAGGTAGTTACAAGTTGTATCCTCCATGGAATAAGCATGTGGAACATCACCTGTTTGTAAAGGAAGATATGGTCATCCAAGGGGCCAAGGTGTTTGACTTCCATGATGATTCCAGGGACAAGGTGTTTGGCTTGTCAGTTCCTTCAGGGATGTACACCTTACCTGAAATGCCGCCGGAACAATGCTGCAGGCACCTCCCCCAAGAGCAGTTGCAGGAGCAGCGATCCCCCCCGAGGCGCGTGAACCTGGGGCGTGATCCCCCAAGCCCTGCAATCAAGAGCAGCATGGTGGCCGAACAAAAAAAGCCAAAGTGTTGGACGGCCGCGCCTTGGGCATTTGCTGGCTGACGCCTGGTCTCCTTCGTCACCCCACTCACGTGTCGATGTAGTTCTAGCCCTTTATACTTCCTGCTGCGCATGAACGAAACCAGGCGGAGAACAGATGTGAAGCCTCCCGATTAAGTGAGTTCAGACAGCTCCTGGTCGCAGGTCTGACTGGTTCCTTTGCGTGGGTCTCTACGCTTTGACTCTACACGTAAATGCATCCTCGTTGCTAAATTGAACAGAGTTGGTATGCTGTACTTCCACACGAAAAATGCCCTCACAGAGATGATTAGCTATGACAATGATATGTATAGAAGGTGGGGTACCCATCCATTGTCCATCAATCTCTCTTGATGGTTCCCTAGGTACTGCAGTCCTACTTGCAGAACGACTACCAAGTCTTGGTGCTTAGGGGTACCTCTAGACACCTCGGAGCCCAATAATCACTTCAATTGGCTTTTACTGTTAAGATTTGTTAACATTTGATTCAAGCCTGGGCATTCAGTGGGTCAAATCAGAGTTCAACAAGTCTTTGACCACCTAAGAGCCTTGGAGCATGATAGTGATATGCTTTGATCATTGGACTTTGATTTGCTTGACCTGAAGAATGCAATTCAGAATGCACACCCTGGAAGAAGGGAAATCGTCTTCCGGTGGCCCACAACATATCATGAACTATCATGGAAACAACTTCACCTTCGTGTTCCTAGGATATCCAGCACGGGAGTGAAAACTTCCCTGATATTGGTTCTCCATGTTCCCTGTAGTTTGCCATATTCTTGAGCTCTTCGATCCAAACGCTCAGAGCGGCCACCCCTTCCGCCACAACTGGCCACGGCTCCAGGTGGTGCACCGGCGGCGGCAGGCGGCGGCGGAGAAGAGCAAGGTGGGAGCGGGTGGGGCCGGGTGGAATGCCAGAGGGTACTTCCTCAGTGACATAGAGGATATCCACATATGAATGTCAGCGTTTGATGTTTCTAGTAGAATTGAGTTGTCAATTTGTAGACTAGCAGGTGCGTAGGCTGGCAGCAAATTCATTCTCTGAGAGCTCCATCCAAGACGCTGTATTTTTGCATGGTTTGCGGCCAATATCAAAAGCTCCTCTTCGCGGCCACCAGTACTCTACACGACGAGAAAACATCTCTAGCCATGACACCCCGGCAGATCCAGGTATGTTGCACGACCAGACATAACCAGACCATCATGGCGGTGTCTGGTGGTCGAAATTCACACCCTCATGTGGTGCCGTGCCGGACCCTGCAGGACACCTTCCTCAAAAAACCGCTGTCCACCGTCGACAAGACGGAGTTTGTACAGAAGCAGGTTTGGGGCGCCTTGGCACAGCTTTGCTCACCCTGCGACACAAGGTCAACGTTGGGCTTACCTGGTTCTGCTTGGTGATTTGGATTTTCCGGTGAAGCCCCTTCTGGGGATTTTTGTCCGGCTCCTTAAGCAAAGGCAAGCGTAACCTGTTTACCTTTACAAATTGTAGCACTTCTGACGCTTGGGGTTGATGAGATAGAAATTGCGATGTGTAAACCAAAATTAAGCAAAATAGACCAACTCTATAAATTGCGTTTAAGTTTAAACCAAAATGATTCTTGTGACCTCCTTGCTTTCATTTTTGTTTGCCTTTTCCTTTAAGGCTGGGATGCGAATCACCTGTTGCTGTCCCCTGTGTGGATTCTCCGTCGGAAAGATCACTTCAAAGTAGGCTGATTTTTGGAGAACGGGCGTTGACGCCATTGCATGGGTCTTGTAAGTCACATGGTTTGGATCTATTTTGTAGACAAACGTTGATCCATTTAGCTGCCAGCACCCGTACTGTTTGTTGACCCTCAGCTTTGAGAAGGAGAGAGGCCCTGATTAAATAAACCAGGGTGCATCACACTTTCTGAGGGCTTTCATCGACCAAGGTCCTGAGTTTTTTTTCATGCTTATATCTCCCCGGAGGTGGTCAAACAGTAAAAGTCAGCGCCAAGTCAGCCGATCAGCCACGTTAAGATCAGCCAGGTCCTGTTTCTTGGGATCTCCGATCGTTTTTTATTTTTTTTCTAGAGTGAGTGACCTCTAAAGTTAGATCTATAGGAAGAGGATCTAGATTCGCCATGAGTCACTCCTTTTGTTACAGGTGTTCCAATGTCACTCTATGTATATATATATATAACTATATATATAACTATGCAGTATAGCAATTCTTGTAGGGCCTTGACCGAACACGCCTGGAGTTGCTCGAAAAACGGCTCTATTTCATCGACCTCGAAGCGCAGAGATGCGCCTCTGCGCCCAGCACGCAGAGCTTCGGGCGCCCGGTGATGCTTCAGGATCTTCAACAAACACTTGACAAAGCTTATTGCCTTGTCATGTCTTGTCACCCCCTATGGATCCACATACCGAACCTGACAAGATGAGAACAGAGACTATTTATGTAGGCTTGGAAGGTCCAAGTACCTTCTGAGGTTCGGTCTGTGGATCCATAGGGTCCAACGATTGATAAAGCTCTCCAAACATCTGAACTGAACTGATTTCTTCTCTCCCCTAATCCTTGGGCCCGGCCTCTTCACAGGGGTTGCTACAGGGCTACCCTTCAAAAACCCGTCCCCGTCGATGGCGCGGATTCACCTCGGGCTCTACCGAGGTGCCAACGGCACTGGTCCTGTGAAGTCCAAGAAGACGGACACTCCACCCGCGCCGGTGGGCATGACCGCGGAGAAAGCACCCGCGGCACCCAAGCGCAAGGCGTGGAGAGCTGGAGAGCTTCGCTTCCAACGCGAAGCGCATGGGAAGCCAAGTTTTGTACCTTTACTTGGGATGATTGATCCCCTGACCAAGAGTTGAAACTACTGTTACGAAGCAGTTTGTAGTCTATAGTATAATACAATATTACATTATATATATGTACAATATATAGACTATAGACTCATTATAGATGGAAAAGTGCGTCAAGCCACAATCTCAGCTGACATAAAGACAGGCCCCCTCAAGAAACCATAGTGTGTGACCATAGGAGTTCTAGTAGTGCCCCGACCCTCTGTTGACAACTCCCTCCAAACCTCACCCCAGAGCTGACCCCGCGACTCGGGTCCAGTCTCCACTGAACAGACAGTGCAGGCTCGCACGAATTGGGTCCAGCCCCTAACTTACATGTCAACCTGATAGGAAATCCATTCCTTTCCTTATTCTTGCGGAAGGGCCGCGGCTGCTTCCCATAGACGGATGAGCCAGGCGGCAGCGGTGCAGATGCAACCCTTGCAGGACATCTCAGACCTCTCAGGTGCGGCCCGACCTTCTGTCCGTGCAGACGTGGAGTTTGTGGCGCTGACGTGGAGTTCGGGGGGCGATGGACTTGCTCCAAAACACATGAGTTCCAAAATAGAAGAACATCCCTTGGGAATCCATTGGTTGGGATATTCTTGAGGCAGACACTCCGTTGAATTTTCTAGGTCTTCACGAGACCATGTTGTGGCCCTGAGGTTGTTGCACAAGTCTAGAATGAATCATCATGAATCAACTGTTGAGCATTGTGAAATTCGGAGTGGCAGGTGGCCAGACACAGAGACTGCTTAGCAGATGTGTCCTCAAATAGGCCGCCCATGGCCGTCCGGAAAAAAAGACTTGTGGTTCAAGGTCTCAATAGGTTGACCGTTTTCGGGTGATGAGTCGTTCAACCTGGAGCCCGACCAGTCCACAATGTATCGAACGACCAGTCCACGTTCGGTAGGTTGTGCCTCCTGCCATGACCCACAGCCAATGTATGCCAATGTGTTCGATGCATTTCTTCTGAAACAAGGAATCACAAACGACTCGAAGGTCGATCCAGGGGCCTGGATGCCCTTGGAAGCGACCGTGGGAGACCTGGATGCCCTGGGGTCGAGACTGCATGTGAAGGTGATTGACCCTTCACTCATGTCGGTCTACATGGGCATCACGAAGGAAGCCTCGAGCTGAAGTTGTAGCCACCAGTATGGCCCCTCAGGATCCAGCTGAAACCCCAAGAAAGGGCAAGCCAACCAACTCAACCAAGCCCACCAACCCTCTAATTACCCACAAAAACCAACCACTCACCTCAACCATCCACCCCCAACCCAGACAAAAAATCTCACGTGGCAGGTGCGAGTCTTCTTTCGCGGCTTCTCAACAAATCGGGTCCCACTGGTTCTTCCACGTCGAGCTCCTTCGATGCACGACCTTTGGAGAGCTCAGATGGCCTGTGCCCCGGCGATTGATGAAGCCGGAGAGAAGCGGGTCACGCTGCCGTCGGATAGACATAGTGCAGGTACCTTTAGGGTTGCAAACACCATTGATTTCATGTATGTTTTTGATTTCATATAGTGTTTTCACTGAAGAACCTGGGTTTTACGTAGGAGTTCAAATGATTTTGGACTACAAGATGTTGGACTACAACAGTTTCAATAGGGTTTTCTATGGTTTCCCTTGCTGGATCAACTTCTTCAAATATGTCGAAACACATTGCTTACCACGATTTGGTTCACTTGGCAGACAAGGATGTGGAGAGTCGACAAAGAGTTTTGACTGGACAGTGACAGCAGTCTTCCAGCCTCTTTCAAGGTTTATGTTTTGGGGGGGTCTAATGCATGTACAGCGGTTTCAGAGTAGATGGCACAATGTACTACATAGTCTTTTAGATGGAGGTCCATACAAACCAGATTTTTGGGATTGTGCCATCTACTCTCCATCCACTGTAGCCAATGTTTATATCACTGTCACACGTTGTTGAGATGTTTCTGTTTGCTGTTTTGGTGCTCTGCTCGTTTGCTTCAAAACCAGTTTCAGCCCCCACAATCTCCTGCGGACGGGAAAGCTGTGACCTGGAGACATCCATTTCGGCGCGCTGAGACTGGGCTGAAGCGCCTGAGGTTCTCATATCTGAGCACAGAGCCCAGTACGTCAGACATGGTGGATTTGGACCCCGTGAGTGTGGACTTGACAGGCCGGCGAAATGGATGGATTGGAGATGATTTGGGATGGGTTTTGGTGGGGAAATGTGGATGGGACCAATGTGATTGTTGGAAGACACATGAATACAATGTGCGAAACCAAAAGAAGAGGGTCAAAAAACACAATTCCTTGGCACGTGGCAACTGCAAGTGACTTGTGTTTGAACACGCGCTTCGGCGCTTATATCCAAGGATCTGGGCTCGCCCAGAGTTGTGAGGGGTGTTGCTTGTGGCCAGGCCACGTTTGCGAAAATTCTCACTGGACAAACAATTCCTGCACCATCACTTCATTTTAGTGGAACACATCGTACCATCTAAGATGATTAGCAACATTGCAAATGCCTATGAAACACGGGTCCAGGAAGGGTATGGCATGATATGGTCAGACATTAATGGTAATTACTTGTTTGTTGTTCGCAAGACTGTCAAGACTGCAACAAGAAACACAAACCTGCTCTTGGGCGTTGATGGGTCCCGTGTCTCTTAAATAAGGGGCTCCACCTAACCAAAGTAAAGGTCAATTATTTGTGTCCAAGATTGTCCAAGTCCACATTTTTTAACGGAGGACTTTTTTTTTACATACACCCACCCGCTCGCTTTGTTCAGAGGCCCTTCGAGCAGAACGGCCGATGGAGGCACAGGGAACAGAGTGGGAAGGCCAGCTTTTTTCTTTGTGATGATTTGCTTGGATTTGAAGCATATCTCCGCGCTCATCCCCAAAACCAACCACATGAAACGGACAGACACACACTTCGAACTTGGATTTTCAGTTAATGCAATCTCCCGAGGAAAGGAATGGCTCAACGGTAAGGTGGAAAGTCAGCGCAATTGTAGATGTTTGAACAAATGGTTTTCGCACATCTGCAGTTCACAAGAACAGCGGTGTCGAGCGATCAGCGCGGCTGCACATCTGCGGTGGAAAAAGGTTTTGGGGTCTATCATGAGAAAAACCATGGAACCAACGAAACAGCAGCAGGGTGGACCAGTGGAGTCATTGTGTTGAAAGCAGGTACGCCAGACTGATCAGGTCTGGTTTCACTGCCAATTGCAAGCGTCTTCGTTGGCAGGAGACTTGCAATGGCACTCCTGCCCCCTGCTTGTGGAGTGAAGGTGGTGGAAAAACCCTTTGTCCAGGGTGGGACACACACAGATCGCCGCATTCGGCGCTTTTTTCAAAAACCGGTGGCAGGCGTGGTAGTTATGCCCCTTTTGGACATATAGGTTCACGAGTTCAGCCGCAGCAAGGTCAGCGCTGGAGGGTGGAAATGTGTATTTTCGAATGGTGTGAAGTCGTGATTGGAGGCCTGATAGAGCCAAGCGCTGGCTCCCGGCAGTGGTGGAATCCCGGATTTTCCAGGGTTGAGAAGGTTGCATGTAGGTGATGGTGCGTTGTGGGAGGTCGATGTTGAAACCGAGGAGATGAAAGTCCTCCACCGGTTCTAGTTCCACAGGGTCGCCAAAGAAATTGTGGTGGATGAGGGTTTGGATAGCCGGGTGTGGAAGGAAATGTTCGTTGTGGACAATAAAACGGTTGTCGACATAGCGATAGTAAGTAAAGTGGAGGTCTGTATGTTGCAGGAGATTGTTGTGGATCTGATGCCAGGAATGCTCAATGAGGGTGATGGCGACGTTGCATAGGGCTGGAGAGAGCTGGGATCCAATCCCGGCCCCTCGGATTTGTTTGTAAGTGTTGTTGCAAGCCCGGAAAATGCATGTGTCGAGGGCAAAAGCCACAATGGTGGTAATGTCGGAAGTCTGGATGGTGCGTTGGGTGGGGTGTTTCTGATGGTGTCGGCCAATGTGTGAGTGGTGGAAGGGATTGCCAGTGGCCTGGACATCCACCGTGAGGGTGTGTGTGGATTGCTGTTGCTGCCAGTGGTGGACGAGGGAATGAACTGCGTCGATGAGTCGGTGCTGGGGAACGGAGTTGAAAAAGCCAACCAGGTCGTCGTTGGTGGCATGTAGTGAGATGTCCGGTGGGGTTTGAGTGAGGTAACTGTGAAAGTGGTGCCAAAGCTGGGGAATGGACATTTGGCCTGGATGTTGAGGGTAGAGGTGTTGGAGGATGATGTCAAGGGCGCGGCTGGTGATGCGTAGCAGGTTGCCACTGAGTGATTGGAAGTATGAGATGATTGTACGGCCTTTCTGCCAGTGCTTCTTCTCCTTAAGGTGGACAACCCCGTAGGGGATGTTGAAGTCTTTGCGAAAGCCCCACTTGTAGCGAGTGCGCAGGATGGGGGGGACCGTGGCGGCCAGGTGGTCGTGGATGTTGGCGGCAGTGATGTAGGGAAGTGGTTCGAAAAGTTCAGGGGATTGCCAGGTGTTCAAGGCGCCGGTGAAATATTGGCGAGGGCAAAACAACCGGAGTTGTTGGAGCTCATGATCGGCATGGTGGAGCAATGTGTGTTTGCCCAAATGTTCTCGGAGCTGGCGAAGCAGGCGAGCCGTAAATCGGGGTTGTTGTTTGAGGTGTATGTTGTGGAGGCGCCATTGGTGCTCAAGGAAAGGTTGTAGGTGTTGGACTAGGGATGGTGGGAGCCCCTGTAATTTGAGCCATTTGGTATAGGCAGTCTTGAAAATGAGGAAATAGCGAGCCTTGCTGGGGTAATAGGTACTGTTCATGTTCGCGTTGAGGAAAATGCTGAGGTGCGTAGGGAGTTGGAGTTGATCAAGTGTGAGGATGTAATGGCCATCGACGGTAGGGGTCTCTGGATCCTGCAGGAGGGTGCGAAGGTGATCGCATGCACAGGGGAGGTCTGCGGGATCTGGCGGGGAGTGGAGGGTGTCCTCCCATGTGCGGTGGTTGTGTAGGTGGGAGCGCAGGGTTTTGTGGGCGGCCTCCCTCAGTCTGTGCGAGGGGAGGTGGAGGGGTATGGTGAATTGCTTGTGTTGCTGGATGGTAGTGCGAAGCCATTGTTGGCAGTGCTTGGGAAAGTCGTCATGGGCCAAGAAGGGCACTGTCAATGGGATGTTTGGCTTTGGTGGTGTGAGGTTGCGGTAGATCAAGGCTTTGTTGAGAATGTGGAGAGCTCGGCTGCGGCCAGGTTCTTCCAGATTCGCGGCCATGCGCCGTATTGCGTACACCTCGAGGTCTGTGTGGCGGCCGCTTCTTAGCTGCTTTGCTGCCTCAAAAGAGGCTGCGGTGTGTTTGGTGAGGTTGCGAAGGATTTGGAGGGCGTGATGCTTCGTGGAAGTGTAAAGGTGTGGTTCTCTGAGGGTGTACTGGCGTTGGCGAAGGCGTCGGAAAAGTCGTTTGTGAGTGGCTAGTCTGGAGTAGAAGTGGGCTCTGTGCTTCGAAAACTGCCATCCCTGAGCTTTGAGTTTGAGGTGGTGGGAAATGAAAGGCCAGTTGAGTGAAGGCATCCAGTTGGCGATGTAGTGGTGCTCTTGAATCCAGGCTTGGTCGTAAGTAGCATGGGAGGTGAGTTGGATAGTGGTGTAGTGGTGGATGTTGTTGTGGGAATGCCAATAACGTAAAGAGAGTTCTGCAGAAATGGGAATGTTGTTTTGAAGTTGTTTGAGTTTGGCACGGCGATTGTGTTCACGGTGGGGGATGCCGATAGCTGTGGAGCCAACGTAGAAGTGGCCGTGTTGGTGGTAGCAGCGTTGGGGTTGGTCGGGATTGAAGTGGAGCTTGATGTAGACGGAATTGGAAGAGAGGAAGTTGTGGTAGTGGTAGGTGTGTGGTAAAATGTGGAGCTGGCGGAGGCGGTTGCGCCATTGTTGTGAGCGACGGGTGTTGGAGGGGTATGCAAAAAGTAGTGTGATATGGATGAGGCCGGTTGCAAAAATAGCCTCGGCGCGGTCAATGTATTGGGTGCGGTGGATGAGGATGGAAAGTGTGCGGTGCAGGTGGAAGAGTTGGGTGAGGTTGGTGTGGCTGGGTTGCTGCTGGGCCACGATGGCGAGTCAGCAACCAATGGCTGCTCCTACTCCCACCAGCTGTTGTAGGCTGCGGATGGGGAGTCGATTGACTCGGTTGAGGGGTAAGCCATATTTGGTGGCTGCCTCTTTTAGCTGCTGCGTGGTGACCTTGCTGGTTTGCAGCAGTCGGATAACGTCTGTCGCAGCTTCTTGGATGGTGGGGTCGAAAGTAGTGACCCATTGTTGGATCTCTGGGTAGTTCCAGCCTTCGGGGATGTCGTCTTGCAGAGTGGGGTGTGGCGGTTGCAAGACGTCGGTGATGGCTGGTGGTTTCGGTGGTGGTGGCGTGGGTGCGTGGGAAGGGGCGGCTGGTGCGGAAGATCGGCTGGTGTTCTTGACTGGTGTGAGTGGGTTGCCCAGGTCCTGGAGTTTCTGACGTGCACGAGCCAGTTCGTCGTTGGTGGTCTTGAGGGCGCGTAGGGCGGAGCCTTCCGCAGGTGCTGGGGAGTGGGTTTGCAGTTGGTCGATAAGCAGTTTGATGAGGGGAGCGTGAAAAGCTCGAGCGTGGGTAGTTTTGTTGGGAACGTCTGTGCTCTGTTGTGTGTGAAGAGCCTCCGCGATGCCGTCGAGGTCAAGGCGGTGCTCGCGGAGTTGTTGGAGAAAAAAGGGTCACGAAGACCGACTCCGCTATGCTTCTGGTGGCAATGAAACCTGTAAATTTGCCGTTGCTCAGTGTACGGGCGGTGAACTCGGAGGTACCGTGGTAGGCCAATTGCCACGGGAAGACCTCAAATGTGGGGAGGCCGGCCACTCCTGCTTTGCGAGACCACTGGGTGGGTTGGATTGTACGATGTAGTTGGTGGCCGTGCAGGGTGTTGGAGTCCCAATGTTGCTCGGTGGGGTTCCAGGAGTCAGGAACAGGTGGTGTGGGTGATGGGATGTGGGGGGGGCGGCGGTGGGGCGTGCGCTGTGGTGCCACGTGTTGTAGGTGGTGGCGGGGGGCTGTGTTTGAAGGTCGATGGTGGTGGAGTGACAGGCTCGGCCGTGGGCAGGGGTGGCGGCGGCGGGGGTGGAAAATCTGGCTGGGAGTTGGGTGCCTGGGGTGGGGGTGTTTGTTGCGATGGCGGTGTGTACGGTGGAGTCACATAAGGGTTGGAGTGGTGGACGTGGTGTGTGCGAAGTGCGTGAGTGAGTGGGCCGTAGGTGCCGGTGGGGCTGTAGGTGTGGTGGGCGGTGGTGGGAGGAGAAGTTGTGGTATCTGGGTTGTTGAGCTGCTGATGGTGTTGCTGCATCAGATAATGATTCCAGTAATATTGCTGCCACTGCGCGTCCATGGTGGCTGAGCGAAGGATCACTGGATCGTGGGAGTGGATCACCGGTTGTTGATTTGAGCAAGCTGAAAATGTAAAAACCGGTGCAAGACAGTGATTTGGGGAAGCAAAGGTGGCGCTAAAGCAGTCATGCTGCTGAAAAAACCGGTGTCAAAGAGAAAAACTCGAAGGACCGCTGAACACACCGTAAAACCGGAAAAAACTCAAAAAACGCCTATATGGGTGCGAACAAAATGTTGAAAATCATATTGAAAATGAGACTGTCCAGGGAAACGCGCCGTTTTTCGTTGTGCAAAGTGAAACTGAAAGTGGTTGTCCGCGGAGCAAGCTGAGCGGCTGCCCGAAGATGATGGTGGGAATGTTATTGGAAAGTTGCGGTAGAACCGAAACTGCATGGCCAAAAAAGTTAGAGGGTGGTAGCATGTTGTACAAGTCATCTT